CGTTTCGCAGGAAAATTACTGTGGATAAAATGAAGATTTCGTCTGCCCACAAAGAACAGTGCCTGAATTTGATACAGAGGATAACATACAGCCATAGTGACGGAGAGTATATAGAATAGAATTGAATAAGTTTCAATTTTCCCAAAGTTACGGCATATTATAAGAAAAATTGGCACGACATAAAGGAGCAGTGGGTCTGTGCATATCGTCATCACTGCCTAACATTTGGAAACAATACAACCAGTAGATTAGAAAATATTAATCAAATGCTGAAAGCAGGTATTGAAAAACTGTCTTCTTTGGACCAGTTTTTCACTGACTTCAAGAAGGTGTTTTCTTCATTACCAATTGAAAGAGAAAGAAGTTCACGATTTACTCCTTAAGTAGGAAATAATTAAATTTAAACGGGATACTTATCAATGGAAATATCACAACTTAATTACTCCTTTTGCTTGGAAATCTTTACTGCAGCAATTTTCTTTTATGGTAAGATACAAAATTAAGGAAAACCTAGAACTAAACGAAAAATGACAAATGTGACTGCAGCTTTCTAACCAAATGCTATTGCTATGTTGCCACATTTTGGCTTTAAGAGAAAAAATGGGTTTGAATCCGTCTGACGAAAAGTTGATGCTTAATCGTTGGAAGAAGAATTTTTATTTAAGTTATCACAGAGCGTCAAGCAATATGGAAAATCTGTATGCAAATGATGCATGCCAACAAGTAACAATATTGGATTTCGCATCTCCAACACCTACAGCTGTTAGAGCTAACAAAAAATATGAATAAGCAGCAAAATTATGTTCCAGATTTGCTGTTGTTATATCCGAGTTTGGGACTGAAAAATATAAGCAAAAAATGCAAGACGCCAAATTGCTTCTCAATTATTACGAAATGAATATAGAGGTACTTATATGTGAACTGGCAAGTTCGTCTAAAAATGCAGTCACTAACAAAACGAAGTGCTTGATACAGGTATTGAAGAAATTGAAATGAATTTCACAGAGGAAAATGTTTAATCACACTGTGAAAAAATGTGGAAGAATAGATTATTTACGTTGAAGACTTGAATCAAAGTAATTCATTGGAAGAAATAAACAATAACAACAAAAAACTAATAGAAAATACTCGAAACCAATATGAAAAATGCAGTGGTACATAATAAACATCAGGATAATGAACACCAAGAAACTGCAACAAAAACAAATGAGGAAAGAATAGAAAAACTAATCCCTCAAAATTAAGGCTGTGATTGGCACATCTAAGATGCTGTAGGGAATGCTGTTCAATTAACGTTTGCAAAAATATTTGCTAACAGTGAAGTCTATAGACAGAAATCTACTAGTAATACCATCTCGTAGAATCAAAGTGAAAAATATCATATTTTACCTAGTTGCTCTTTACAAAAAATGAACGAGCCTACTCCGGCAAAAAAAACTATTGTTTCATCATCCAAAACCAACCTAAATGAAGAATTTTTGTTTGAATTAAAAGCAACTAAACTTCCTAAAAAATGATTCGTTGTGGGCGCCCTAAAGGTCACATGTCAACGGCTGTGGAAGTAAAAAGAAAAAAACAAACTTTTGAGGTTCCAGTAAAATACAGCTTAAAATCAGATTATGAAAAAAAGAAGTTGATCTTTGAATGGATTGGTTTATCTTACGAATCCACTATTAAATATACTACTTCCCATTTACCTACTGAGCCAAAATTAATCAAATCAGAATTTTTTTAAAATGAAGTGCATGTATCTTTAGTCCAAAAAGATTTTGCAGCACCCGGTTATTCTGCTCTACTTCGTTTTTTGATAACTGCGAAAAAAATCAAGAACTTGCACTGCAGAATTTGTAACAAGATGTCGAATGGAATCAGTACTAAAGAAATGTGCCAATATCAAGCGAAAACTGAAAGGTGATTGGTTTTGTACTGTTTACAGTGAAAGCGAGAATCTTTAGTATGATACTGAACACTTGGAGATGTTCTATTAATTATTATTAAACTATCTTTTTTTCGTTCTTATAATCTTCTTAAAAATAGTTCCATTGTTTTGTTTTAAAGTTTTTTTGAAAAAAAAAAGTACAAAAAATAAAAGTTAAGTCTGTTAGCACTGTTTTGTTGTGTTTTGTTTCTTATGTTAATATACAGAGTGTTATTGAAAGGTACGTACAAAATAAAATCGGCAGTTGGTCTCGAAGTATGGGTGCTAAAAGTTACAAAAATTTCAGGTAAAAGTGTTCTCCTTTTAGAGATAAAAATTATTAAAATTTATGTCCAAATTCGTTGTACGCCTCTGATAAAAAGATCATCTCTCGTTTCTATAGCAACATTTAGTCTTGACAAAAGTTTTATTGTTACAGTTGCTAGGATTTACTAAAATAAATTAATTTTACCTATTTATCCTTCAGTAGCGTCTAAAAAGGTTGGATAAGGGTTGATTTTCCCCTTATAATTTTGACAACACAAAATAAGTTTTTTTCACTAGCAGCCTGGACGCATGCAAATGTCGACTCATTTAGTGGTAGCAAATTCAACTTTTGCTACCACGGGTTCAAAAAGAAAAATTGAGGTTATGTACGCAATGTTTGATGTGATTATTTCTTAAAAAATGAACAAATGTGTGCTACAAACATTACTTGAGTATACGCATGGTAGTTGGTAGACGGTAGAAGATAAAATGATTAACTCAGCGACAAGTATAAACGGTTTTCTTTGTGTTGAAGATTTAGATCAAGTTTGATTAGAAATCAAAACAAAATCATGTTGCGTCAAAAAATTGAACGTTTATTTTTCAGTTTATTGTCTTATGGTTTCTACTAGTGAAAAAAATAGTATATTAACCACGGTTGCAAAGCCACTTCTAGACCTCGCACTTAGAGCCCTCGACACTGCGCGTCTCGGGTTCTAATTTGCGCTCGGTCTAGAATGCTTGGCTCTGCAACCTTGGCTAATAATATACTATTTTAGACTTCTTAGACTTCGTGAAGAACTGTCAATTTTGTTGTACGTACCTTTCAATAACACCCTACCTACCACTTAGTCTCTTGGATTTATTTCTAATGCCTGTTACGGTTTGCTTGTATTTGACATAATACAGCTTTTTCTTCTTTGTCACTTATACCCATTTTGCGATTTATAGCCACAGATTTGTAAAAGCATAAGTATACCATATAGTTTTAGAAAAGACGTACAACGGTCGTAAAAATCATTAAATTTGAACTGGAGTTTGAAGGTAAATCGAAGATTTGTGGCGCCAAAACCTTTCAACTTGTGTTAGTACGCCTAATTACTGAGTGATACCTATATACAAAATCTCTATCCATCTGATGATCTGATGATCATGAAATATTCAACGTAATCGAACTACAGATTATTCACAGTAAAGAGAGTAAAATGGTGTGAACAGATGTTTGTATCATTTGTAATGTGGACGTACCTACATGTGAGTATGAACAGCGCGCGTACTATTCATACACACTGTATGTACGATTAGCGCTGTAGTTATTCGTACACACCGTGTGTATCAATAGCTCTTGTACTATTCGTACATACTGTGTGTACGAATAGTCACTCCGATTTGTAAATTATCATCAAGTTTAATGACGATTTCTCTTTTTCCTTTGCGTGTTTAAATTTGTGACATTCAGTTATTTGTATCGATTTGTATGTAGTATTTGATTTTATTTTTGAAAGCTGGCGAGGTGTTTGCAGCCATATAGCTTATTTTAATAACTTTTCCCACTCCAGTGTGAAGGAATACAATTTTGTGCACATGTCTATCTTTGGCGGGATGTTTGACTTATCAAAATACCAAACTTCCGTGTGTCCAGACAATCTCTTTTCTCTATTTAGTCTATTTTATGATTTTCTTATCCCGGTTTTGACGCCACTGCTATGATCGACGGTTGTGTGGTAGGTTCCTTAATTAATGCTGATGTAATACTGGAGATTCTTTCAATAATTAAGATTAGTACCTACACATAAAATTTGCAGACTTAACTTCCTTCTACCTACGCCCTATAATGGCTGCATGTGTGCAATTATGACTTCTCAACGGAACCTGTGTATTAGTCTCCACTTAACTCTATTTTTCTCTTTTCCTTCTGTTTATTACCCGAGCGAAAATTATTTTACATTTTTTTGGCAAATTTCAGAACAATCTCAGAAACAACGAACATAATGAAATATTACTATTATGTATTATCGAAAACATGATTTGACACACTCTCATTTAGATTTTAAATTTAAAAATTACTCACTAAGTTACATTTTTTACACTCGACATTTCATATATTTTTTACATGTCTATTGTTTATAATAAAAAAATTATATAACTAGTGCACTTTATAAGCTGATGACGTCACCAATTTTCTGGACTGGATGAATAAATAAATCAGTGTATGTTTTACACATAAATATGATTGTCATGCATCTACATTTCAAATTTTAATATCAATTTTTAGAAGGGAAAGAGTGGGCAAATTTTGGTTAATAACGAGTGACCTGTCGATAAATTTTCAAGAAGTACTTACCTTCGCTAATGCTAAGATGTACAAGAGTTCGGCGGCATTTCCGCTACATCGTTATAAATTTTTCACCTTAATCCACTTTTACCCGTCAAGCGCAGTGAACTCAGTTTAACAAACCCAAACTCTGTTTAATTTTTTAATATATGCGTAGTTTGGCCGGAGTTGACACCAACTTCAACGCGCAAAAACATTTACTTTATTACTTACCTCTGGGGTTCACTTAAAGTTTCGAGTTCTATTTCGCACTGCACGAATTAAACTCCACCCGAAATATCATGAAAACTAAAAATACGTTTCAAACTAAATTCAATTCTCTATTTTTAGTCAGTTGTTGGCCCTGATTCTTATAAAAAATTCATGCAATTGTTAATTCCGACTCGTGACATGACGTCTAGCTATTACTACTGCGTTTTCCTTATTGAAATAATCAACTCCCAATCAATACATCTGAAGCCATTAAGACAATCAAACTAGTTTACTCTAACTCAGTTTTATTACCTTAATCATAAAAAATATTAAAACAATAAATTAGTTAAGTATAGTTAAAGCACCATAAATAAATTAACAGGATAGCGATTGTAAGACTTTCTGTAAGTTTTGGAAATCCAATTCCAGATTCACGATTCCAGGTTTTTCATTTCCCGGCAAACAGCCCTTCGGAATTTTCACAAAGCCGACATTCACTGGCTTACTTTCACCCAACGCCTACAACAGAACAACGCGTTTCTCAGAAATTATCGACTATTTGTCTATTTCAGTACTCGGAAACAGCAGGGACTCGACTTTGACTCTATTGGTAACAATACCTTATTAAAGCAAGCCTAAAAGTTTTTGAACCTACATCTATAAAATGATTCTTAGATAGTCAGGTTAAATTTCAAATCCTCACCAAAGTTACCAATCGAATCTAATTTCGTAGATAGTAAGTAAAAATTATTAACTCACCTTCACCATTTCTATGGTCGGGAAAACGGTGAAGTCCGCCTCTACTTTCCCGCCCAATTTCCTCCGAACAATCTCATTGGCCACTTTACTCTGGAAATCCTTGGCCCTTCGTCCAAGATCCAGCATTTTATCTCTCTCTTCGGCGAAATGTTTCTGCCAAGCCGCAGGACCATTTCCCGCTTTAACCTTATAAATTTGCGGGAAATTCGGTTTGGCCAAACTCATCAGAATCTCCTGTTTCAAAGCAGCGCCCTCTTTGAACAACTTATCCAAAATTTCATCTGGCGTTGTTCTAAATGAAGGTAGCGGAGACAAGCTATCTAACTCCTTCTTCAACTTATCAGTTTCCAGTTTAATTCGTTCGTTTCTCTCCTGGTGGAAGAGTTTACGAAGATTATCGATTTCTTGCAGAAGAAGCGGCGAGTCTCTGACGACGGCAGGCAAACTCGGCCCAATCGAGGATTGTAGTGAAGATAATTGCGAACCGGAAGTACTCTTCGACATTGATAACTCCATCTGTGTTTTCTTTGACAGCAGTTTTAGTTTTTCTTTCATTTCGCCTTTTTCGTTTTCGAGGGAGTCTATGTCGGTCTGTAAGTGATCGAGAGTTTCCTCGAATTCTTTTTCTTTCTTTTTGAAGTTGTTGTGGGCTTCTTCGAGTTTTCTTTGCAGTTTTTCGATTGTTAATTCGTAGTCTTTATTGACGTTCCCGAGTTTTTTCTCTGCGAGTTCTTTGCGGATGGTCATTTCGGATAGCTGTTCTTGTTTTTCTTTGAGAGCTTTACGTAATTCTTTTATATCGGATTCTTTGTTCTCTAGTTTGCTTGTTAAGGTTTTTGTTTGTTCGAGTTCTTTTTTTACGGTGTCTGCTCTTACTTGGATTGGAGGAATACTCTGTAAATAATAGTATTTTGAACTATTAATAGGTGTTTTATTAAATTAAAATATCGATATTCTTAAGCAAACTTTCTTAAGTTCTTTTATGTTAACATTGGTTTGACGTCTCAAAACAATTCTATAGATTTTACGCAGTTAAAAAACAGGTATTTTTTATTTAGATTATAGGATTATAGAGATAAAAAAAAGTAAGGACTATATAAGCTCATCAGTTTCATCGGCAATACCTGCATTAATCTTTACTAATATTGTCATCACATTGATTAAAAGAATAATCCTGGTGCGGAAATTTTCAAATATGTATCGGTTGATGTTTGTGGGCTTCAATTTTGGGGATTAATTAGTTTAAGATATACTAATCAACGGCATTTTTGACGTTGTTTTCGCACACATTTCATGCTAGAATCGCTGGACAAATGCAATAAGTGCAAGCGAGTGATCAACCCATGAACAACGAATTTACCCTTTCATCAATTCAATAGGGTTTTAGCATAGACTGGTCATGTGACTTTCATGTGATCACTACATCTACTCGATGATTCAAGTATAGGTACAAAAATGAAAAAAAAAAAAAATCTTGTACCTATGGGCAAAAAGAGATGTTTTTTAAAAATATTAGAAGAAATACTAACAATTGAAGTACAGTATCATCCAAAGATTGATAGGCAACGCCAACTCTAATTCACTTTATTTTCGATCGCACCATCCTTATAAAACCTACTATTCTAATTATTTTTAAAATACTCACCTTCTCCTCTTTTTTGCTAGCAGTAGCTATTTCATACTCATTATCTTGCAGGAACTGTGCGATTTGGGTGACTTGCGTTACAATAAAACTCAAGGAATTTTTAACACTTTGAACAGGACCTAAATCATCCTGTTCATACACTTTATCGCTAGCATTGAGAGCAATTTCTTTAATTTTATCTTGTGGCAGCCCTTTTTCAAACTCTAAAAATAAAAAAAAAATAACATCCCTGGACGACACACCAACTAAATAAAATAAAAACCTCCACTCGAAGTCATGATCTGCACAGCATTCTTGACTATATCTTGCAACGTTCTAAATATGCGCCCCGATTGTTGGTAACACTGGTATAAATTATCAAATACTTCCTTACTAAGACCGATATTCGCTACACGGGTATCTGGTGGAATGCGACGTTTGATCAATTTCAGTTGTTGCTGTAGATGTTCACTTGTTGTAATTAGGTGTTGGGCCAACAATCCAATGTCGCCAACATTACTAGTCTAAAACAAAATTCTGTAAATGTTGAAAATGAAATAATTGTACTGACTTCGATAAGATTCCTAATGACCATGGAGTCGTTATTAAAACCATCACATGCACAGAGTAAGCTTTTGACGTTGTCAACAAGCAGCTGTGTGTGATTGAGACGATTCTCGGGCCCTAGAAGCACAGGAAATAGAGTGTTGTAGTAACTAACACATTTTTCGAGTGCTTCTGTTGGCACGTTTTCGTCTAGTTGGTCACGTTTGACCAGTTCGACGAAACCGTCGATGATTTTCTCGTGTGCTGCCATCTCTGGGAAGGTTGCACCCACTTTGAGAAGTGCTTCGGTTTTGCACGCATTTAGAGCGTAGTGGTATTGGTGCAAAATCGACTAAAAATATATACCATAACGTTACAAATTAGTTAATCTGGTTTCGAATCGTAAACAGTTCTTAGATTGCCATTTGTCGCATTTTTCAAGGATTTTCAAAAACTGACGCTTTTAATTTAATTGACTTACAATAAAAGTACAAAAAAATTGTTCTGTTGGGCAAATATATTATTATTATTTGTAATTTGCTAATACAATTTACTTTACTTAATAATGCAGTGGGTGTTATTGAGGTTAGTGGACTACCTGTCAACGTAAAAGGAATATGAGAACGCCCTGGACACCACAGAATCGAGGACGTTCTTGTAATAAATGGCTCAAGAAACGGAAGTGTTCTAGAAAGGTTTCAGGCCGAGAAAATTCAGTCTGACGGAGCTAAGGTAGATGAAAATCGAAGAAGTTGTATGTTAAGGTTGCAATAGTTAAAATGTGGGAGGACAGCTAAAGAACACAAGATATTTATATCGATGTTTTTTGGATGAGGGTGACAGAAGAAGATGAAGTCCAGGACGTAGAATACATATTGAAGTAGCAAAAAGATAAAAAGACAAACACCGGCGTTGGTGTACGAGGTTGGGAATTTTATAACACAGCAGGAGATGGATTGGAACTATTGATTACTTGGAAATAATGGCAAGAAAAAATCTCCTGAAGTAGTTTTCACTGTTGCTAATCAGAAAAAGGCAGCGTTTAGTAAAATTTGGGACTCAAAGCAGTGGCAGTGAACTCAGGCAGAACAAATCAGTCGTTGTTACGAGTCACCGGAATCGTTTGTTAGAAAACGAGTTTCAAGAAAATCGCATGAAGAGTTGAATTAAAATATGTAAAGTTATATACACAATTGTCGTTACTGGGGTCGAGAACAACCTCATTGGGTTCAGTGGCACACACCCAACGTCCCCAAAACATTAATGTTTGGGTGGGAATAATAAACGGAAGATTCATTGGCCCCTACTTTTTTCACGGAAATCTGATAGCAGATCAATATTTAGATCATCTTAGAACCGCAGTGCTTCCGGATCTAATTGTTTCTGATCCAGATAATCCACAAAATTTAGATCGCAGGATTTGGTTCCAACAGGATGGGGCACCGCCACATTATAGCGTAAATGTAAAGGTTTTTTTGGATAACCAATTTGATAGAAGGTGGATTGGAAGGTGTGGACCAATAGAATGGCCACTCTAGGGTTTCTCAATTTTTTTTGTTATGCAACCCCTACATGAAGCTACATTTTCATATGTAGAAAAATAAGCTTTATCAAATAGGAATGCAATTAAAATTAGACCTTCCTGTTAAAAAAAATCACTGATGCCGTCGTAGCTTTTATAAATTTGACGTACATTTTTTTTACGTATGTCAAAAGATGGAGTAAAATAAAAAACTTGACATGTTTTTGCATTTTTTTCAGAAGCAAATGCTGCGCTTTTTATGAATTTTGTGCATTACTTTACCATATCTCTGTAACTAAAAGAGTAAACTAACTGACTGACTAACTTATTAGAGGACTACTAAGTATTTTTTTAAGTAAATGCGACTTCCATACAATCTTTCATGCCCTGTTTTATTTCCTTTTGAGGAGTGAAATTGACGAAAACGCAGGAACAACTAAATATTAATTTCTAATCATAAGCATAGATGTTAAATTCATGTTCCTTTGTTTCGAAAATTACGGGACTCACAAATTTTCATCCTCTATTTGACCCCTTCAAGGGTGGAATTTCCAAAAATGCTGAAATGTAAGTGTTTAATTTCTAACCAGAAGCCTAAATATTAAATTTCAAGCTTTTGCTTTGACGGAACGGACATTAAGAATTCCATGCCCTATTTTGCCCTCTTAGAGGAGGAATTTCCAAAAATTCTTTCTCATTGCCCGCCTACGTTATGCAGAAAATCTACATGTAAAATTTCAAGTTTCTAAACCTGAATTAGAGCTGTAATTATGTTGATAGATCAGTCAGACAGTTTACTCTTTTATACAGGGTTGCTAAAAAGTATGGATATAACTAAAACTATTTAAACTCTATCCTCTGAAATGTTACTGAAATTTCCCTCAACATTTGCATTTTTTTCTGCCTTAAAACAATACAATTTGGAAAATATTAAGTTTATTTGGTGTAGGAAATCTTGTCTTTATCTATAATTACTTCTTCACTACCTATGCCTTGATGGAGAAATTACATAAAAGTTAATAATTTTAAAAATAACGCATTTAACTGAAACAAAACACGATTTAATAAAAAAAAAAACTTTTAGACAGAAAATATGGGGCTCGATTTCCGGTTAAACCGAATTTTCACTGAAAAGCGTCAATACTTCGTCTTCTGTCGCCATATCTAACCATCATAAGAACTAAGAACTTGTCAGTTCTTTCATTTAAACGTACCATTGTTAAATTAATTATTGCACACAAGTTTAATTTTTTGCTAATACTGCAAGTGACAGATTGCTGACCAATATTTTCATTTATTTCCAAGGCCAACTAAATTTAATATTTTTTCGAATTGTATTATTTGATGCACCAATGAGTTCTGATAAACGGTTCTTGAAATATCCATACTTTTTAGCAACCTGTATACCGGATGTCTGTAAAATCCCGAATTAACTCTTCGTTACGCTCTTAACAATCACTGGTGGGTCTCGGAAAACAGTAAAAAAAATTCCTTCTCGTGGATTTTAAAATTGGTTCTTTTGCTACGTTTAACAACTAAACAACACATTCGTTATTACAATAACTAGTAATAAAACCTAGAAGATGTGGGTGTATTGTTTTTGTAATAATTTGATAAAATTCCATTTGGCAACAATGTTTGCCTGTAAAATGAAGGTAGAAATCAGCAAAAATCGAGTAAGCAGATAAAAATTTTTGACGTATCAAAAATTGTCAAAGTTTTCAAAACCCTACGTTTAAAATGTTCGCAATTAATTTTAGGTCCCTTACTGGTGTTTTATTTTCGGATACATTTAAAGGAATCTGGTGTTTTGTTTTTGATGAATTTGAGTGCCGCAGTGTTTTTTTTTTCAATTCCGGAGACTCTTGGATACCATGGAGATTTTTGGTAAATTATTTAAAACGACTTTAGGGGACTTTGGTGTACTATTTTTGGAAAATTCTAACCTGACCTGTTTCTGAGTTCATTTTGGGACCCCGTTTTTTTCTTTTTTGAAAAATTTAAACAATCTTGAGGTTCTAGGTATTCCTGTTTGAAAAGAATTTGAAAGTGCTTTGGAGCCTCTAGTGTATTTTCTTATAATAATAATTTAATTACATTTCTTAGAGGATACGTCATTTGCTAAAATCAGTCTTATCTTAGCAGGTACTAGCTCCACCCAGCCACCCTCTCTTTTCTTAGAGGGTATGTCATTTGTCAAAATCGGCCTTTTTTTAACAGGTACTAGCCCCGCCCATCCACTTTCTCTTTTCTTAGAGGGTATCTCATTTGTCAAAATCACTCTTATCTTAGTGACTACTAGCCCCGCCCACCCACCCTCTCTTTTCTTAGAGGGTATCTCATTAGCCAAAATCGGTCTTATTTTAGCAGCTATTAACCCCGCCCACCCATCCTCTCTTCTCTTAGAAGATATGTCATTCGCCAAAATCAGTTTTATCTTAACAAGTACTAGCCCCGCCCACCCGCCTTCTATTTTTTTAGAGGGTATGTCATTGCCAAAATCAGTTTTATCTTAGTAAGTAGTGATGTCTAACTTTTACAAAAAATGATCAAAATTTGGAAACATTACGAGCTTACTTATATGCACAAGGCAGGAATTTTGAACATCTTCTCTAGTGTTTACTTAGTTGGTTATTCTTTAATGGATTTCTCTTTTATTGGTTTTGTTTTTGTTTATAATTTATAAATGTCTTATTAAATGTTTTTTTGGTTTATTTATTAATGAAAAATAACAGCTTGTTTTATTATTAATAATAAAAAGTGCGTGCAATGTTGCCAATTTTATTTTTTCCTAATCTACATAATAAAAAAAATATATATATTATTTTTTGGGGACTCCCGAAACCCCCGTACATAACTTACTGAAGAGTTAATCCGTCATTTTGCAGACACCGGGTATATAATATCGATTATTCCCTATTATTCCGTGGGAATTTAGAAAAATCCAGCCTTATTCCTTCTTCACCATAAAGGGAACCTGTGTGTAAAATTTTAACTTTCTAGGTCCAAGAGTTTGAACTGGACTTGTCTTTTTACATGTATTGATATTGATGGCGCTTTTCATGCTTTATTTTATTAATGTAAGTTGGACACTGACTCAATGGGGTTTTAACGCAGACTGTTCATGCGAGCTTTACGTGAGTACACCGAATTTATATCAGAATGTCAATTTCTAAAACTCTTGAAACAACGTAACACTACAACTAAAGAACTGTTCTCGAATCGGATAGAGCATTTTACACAACATAATGAATATTTTTAATAAATCTTACCTGTAAAGCATAAATGTAGAACGACGCCCTGCACCTGAAAGAGAACTGTTCAACTTTATGCCCCTTCAAAATAGCCGCCCTATCAATCTTCTCAATAGGAGCAAACTTCTCCTTAATCTGCCCTAACAGTATCTCACTCTTATGAATCATCCTCGGTATTAACAACAAAACCAACACCGCATCATGATCGCCTCCCCTATTCATAAACGAATCCGGCATATAAGCCGTCAAATATCGAATATGACCCTGCAACTGTTGAATATCCACCCGTCGCAACTCCAAATCTATAGCCTTAGTGTGCGCCTTGGTCTCGTTAAACATCTTAGTAAAATCAACGATTTCAGGTAAGGCCGAAACCGGCTTGTTCGTCTCGGTTTCGAGCTTACTTTGTAACTGTAGCGACTGTTCTTGCAGCTTCTGAACCAGCTCCCGGAATTTACCAAGGGTGGCTTCACGGTCGGCTATAGTTTCAAGTGCGGCGTCTCGATCACGCATCGCTTGTTTCACTGCGGCTCGAGCCATATCTAGGTCCTCGCGGAGTTCCGCTTCGAGTTCGGCGTTGCTTTCGACAAGTTGGTCGTTCATGTCTTGCAGGGCTTCCAAATCGGACACTTCTTCGCGTAATTGGGCGACTTTTTCTTCGAGGGTGAGCTTTTGCTCGCCGAGGATGACTACCATTTCCTCTGCGCCCATAGCAGCGTCCACCTGATTTTGGAGAGTGTGAATAGTGGTGTATGAAAGGTGGAAGAGGGGCTTTTTACGTGTTAGTAGACGGCGATATTGAGGTGAGGATAAGTAAGTAGTGTTGTTTACAATTTGAATGTTCAGCAGAATTAATAAAATTGTAATTTGATTTAGGTCGTTCGAAAGTACGTTATAAATTTTGTAAACATTACTGTATGCGTTTTTAGTGTAACTTCACCAGACAATAATGCAACTAGCGTTTGTATGATATCCTAGAACTGCACAACCGACGACTGATGACAGTGAAGTGACAAGTTATGAGACGACCCCGGAAAACAATTGTTCATTTGTTCAAATATAAAAATAGAAACTTCTATCAAACTAACAAAAACGACATTTCTATGGAGTCGACTTCATGAAAACTACTGCACACATCGCCAAAACTTACTCTGAAAACTCTTTGGAGTCGGATCAAAATCCTATACTTCGTCCGAAACATTACTTTTTTCCTGCTTGAACTAAGAGATACCAGACACTTTAAACAAGACATGTGAAATTCATACAGACGAACAATATCGTTGAAAGATCCAAAAAGATTTTTTTTTCCAATATATATACTTGCTTTGCTCTATTCCAGCACAAGGTTATAAGTCGCCACTCGGAACTAATGCGGGAGATGTGGAAAAGTTGATTTATACTTTTTAAGAAGTCTGATCATCCCCGGAAGATCGGGAACACCTTATTGGTTCAAAACCTTTCATAGGGAGTTGTACACATAAAAAAAAAACTGTCATACATTTTTTTGGTTAAGAAATAAGATTTGCAGTGATCTTTCCTGAGTTTGAATTGTTATACAGTAGAGAAGAAATGCTTTGAGACTACAGTACCTAATAAGATGTCACAGTAGACGTAAAAGTGTCCGGATGGGTTCATTTAGAAATTCAGGGGAGGAAACTGTATCGTCATTCTGTTTTCGATACGTCAGAGAGTTAACTTAAAATTTTTCTCATTGTAATGATTTCTCCAACCCATGGACTCGGAAATGCCAACAAAACGTTCAAATTTGAGCTAGAAATGACTTGTTAGGTGAAATTTATCAATACACAGTTATGTTCTAATCTGTTTTGAACATTCTGAACGCCTAGATGCATTTGTGGCCTACAAAATCGATTATTTTCTAGAAAATGAAAATATTGGGGATAGTTTCCGACGTTCTGGTCTTTGTAGCTTCAAGGAATTAATTCAAAAACGTGGAAAATATAACTTTTAACATTTTCTCTAACGATTCTCGTACCTGCGGGCTTGAAAATGGCAATAAAATCGTTTAAATTGTAGCTACAAATGAATTTTTTTTATCTATTACAAAATCGATTCTTTTCTTAAAAAGAAGACAACTCCAGATAGTTTAAACATTTAAATTTCTCAATTGTCCAGTTTTTAATTAATCCGTTTTTTGTTTATTAAATTTTCGAGTTACCAATTTTCCAGTTTTTCAGTTTTGCAATTTTATAAAGTTTCAATGTTTTTAATTTTAATTGTTTACGATTTCAGTTTTTATTTTTCAAGCTTTTGATTTTTCAGTTTTATTATTTTACGATTTTTCGTTTATAATGGTATCCGATTTTCCAAGTTTTTGATTTTTCAAGTTCATAATCGTACTAGTATTCGATTTTCCAATTTTTCAATTTTAAAATTACACGAATTTTCGGTTTCGTATTTTTGCAATTTTTTTGTTATTTCAATTGTATATTTTTCCAATTTCTCGATTTTTCAATTTTTCTGTTTTGAATGCTTTAATTTTTCAATTTTTTGATCTTGCATTTTTCAATTGTCGATTTTTTAATTTAATAATTTTCCAATTTTTCATTTTTATGGTTTATTAAATTTTCAAATTTACAACTTTTTTTGTAATTCTATAAAGTTTCAATTTTTTTGATTTTGATTGTTCAAGATTTCAGTTTGAATTTTTCAAATTTTTGATTTTTCAGTTTTATTATTTACAATTTTTCAATTATAATGGTATCCTATTTTCCAAGTTTTTGATTTTTCAATTTCGTAATCTTACTAGTATTCGATTTTCCAATTTTCTATTTTTTCCATTTTAGGATTGTCTGGTTGTTCAATTTTTCAATGCAGTTTCAAGGAATTCATTCAAAAATATCAGAAACTTTTAATAATTTTTTTTTCTCCAACTTTTGAGCTCGAAAATGTGAAGAAAACGTTAAAATTATAGCCAGAAATGAATTTATTTTCCGTGGTGTAACATCACATTGCTTAGTATCGTCTTTCCGTGGTTTATGGGCGTTTCTCGTACTTTATTCAAATCAGTATAGAAGATCTACTTTTTAGAATACCCCTATAGCAGAAGGCAAACGATACTAGAGGTGAAATAGTTGGAGAATAGCAAAAAAAAGGATCCTTTGTTTGGATTTTTACGGGGTTTATTGTACAAACATCAGTTTATTTAGAACTATAATAACCTTTTGGACGTTGTTTAAGATAAATTAATTATAACGTGTGTACGAAAAAACGTAACTGTCTTATTTTTTCGAGTACAGTATTGCGTGTACACCAAATTAAATGGTCTTAAATATACTAGAATATGATATGAACAATTAGTATTTAACATTCATTGGTTTTTGTCTCCAACATTTAATTATTTTGAGCGTAAGGCAATCGAGTCCATTGGGCGACTTGCCACTTTCATGTTTTTTCAACGTTTCATGACCTTCAGATTACAAAAAAAAATTAGCCAGTGTCGATTTTTATTGGAAAGGTAATCTCCGAAACTACTGGGCGGACTGCTGTTAAATTTTGTATGTACAAGGTGAGTCAACTAAAAGAGGACACGTCGAAAAATTGTTTATTTATTAGTCAAAAGTAAATTTGTAAATGGAAAATAATAGCCTGCGTGCATACGTAAATTCTCTGCTTTAAAAAAAAAGCAATGAAATTACTTATATTGCAGAAGTAGCATTTAACTTTTTTTTCTTGAATTATTTTTTTGAGTAATCTCCGCTAGTGCAACTTGACGTAAAATTTGGTAAAATGTTGGATTGGATTGTTCAGAAAAGTATAGTAAATGAAATAATATTATAATGAGTCTGAAAATACATGTTTCATTACATACGGAAAAACGTGTTTTGAAAACCAAGCGCAGAAAATTTTATTTTGCAAAAGCAAATAAACGTTTCAAAAGTAACCAATATTGATTTTTCCGAGTGTTTTTCTCAATTTTATAAATATATGGAAAGCAACGATTTTTTTTTTTATTATTTTGGTTTCTGTCAATTATTTCATGTTAAGAGGAGTCGCTACGTTTGGCTTTGGCTCTTATGGTGTTGTTAATATATTTTCAGAATGTAATATCTCCTGCGAGGGTAGTTTCTTTTAAACAATTTTTTTATCATATATTTTTAAAATTTTGTTGAAATTTTTGCATCACGTATTTTGAAAATTCAATATTTCAGTTATTTATGGAAATTTTGGAACGGGGTTGCCACCACTGTTTTCACCTTGCAAAACTTTAGAAATCGTATTAGGTCTATTTTTGACTTTAGTTGTAGGGACTGAGATATAGTAAAAATAAAAGTTAACAACTTCTACGACACAAGCTTTTTTTACTGTGTATCGTTTCTAACAAAAAAAATCGACGATATATCTGGTACGATTTTTGGAGATTTGTAAGCTCAAAACAGTGTTGAACACCATGTTCTGAAATTTCCTTTAATAGTTGAGATATTGATTTTTAAAAATACGTTATGAAAAAATTTCACTAAAATTAGAAGAAAAGTATCATAACAAACTGTTTTTAAGAAAATTGCCCTTGCGTTATATAAAGAAAGTTATATTTAAAATCTCAAATCCACAAGTCTTGATTAGGAGTATATTGTAGATGGTAAGCCGTTAACCAAAATTTAGCGAATCATCCCCACCACCAAAGGGATGACGTCATCTCTAAAACTTAGGATAATATATATTTTTTGATTTTATAAAATACGATACTCGTTCACTTGTGGTCTACGAATCTGTGTTGAATTTTTGACCCTAGACATACAGATTTTTGGAAGAAAAAATCAAAATTGTATAATATTTTGTAATTTAACTTTGAAACTGCAAAATCGGATGGTCTGGAACCTTGAAAACCTTTTAAGGTTGTCGTAAACATAGTAAATCGGTAATCAAAATTTATTCATTTATCCCCTTTCAACAAATTGATAACGTCATTTCAAAATTTTGACTAACAAATCCTCTCTGAAATACGCAAAAAAAAATTAATGAATGAGGGAATTTATTTTATCAATTAAATCAAAAATGACACATTCCACTTTCCCGAAAATTTCGGAATATCTATCCAAATTGGTATTTGAAAAAATGATGACGTCATCACAAAATTTTGTAACGGAAAAACTCACCTGAAATAAACGCGTAGCATGCTTCTTTACCTTTACTTTAACACTACATACATATCTATATTCTCACTGATAAGGGTTATCATACAAAAATAAAATTCACAAAATCAAGTCCTATAATTTTTCGAAAAAGGGACGATGATAGTTCTGTCGAAATAACATTCAACCAATTTTTTTTAATGACAGACTATATTTTTTAGATCTTCTTGTACAGACTTTTTCTGTAGTCATATATGTACGTAGTTAGATGCGAAAAAAAAATTGAAAATGTCATAAAAAATGACACACTAAGGTACACACAATAAAACTTCCAAAACTCTGTTCATCCTCACCTTTAAGTAAAAAGCCCCTTATAAATAGTGACAACAGTGCTTATTTTGTATCAAAACAGCAACTTTTACGGTTGCAATTTCGTGTGAATAAGCGGTGGCGTCAAAGCAAGTCTACGTTATCAAAATTTACCTGCTATAACCGGTAACCACCAACAAATCCAAGTTAGTAACAAAATTACAACCTAAAATTATCATACTTGCTCTTGCAGATCCGCAACTTGCTGCTCCATCTCTTCAACCCTAGCACTCAACTTCTCCTTCGTTTTCCCCAGTTCAACAATTTCCGATTTCTTCTGATCTATATCCTTCAACAATTTCTGATATTCGTGCTTATCGTGCGCGGATAAATCCCTCAACCTGACCAAGGTTTCCCTCAATCTAGCATTCTGCTGCTGCAGCTGTTTCACCTCGAACGTTGACATTTCCTCGCCGCCGCCAGAAGTCCCTCCAGCTATTCAAAATTACTACAAACCACATCACACTACCAATACTTACATCTCTCCTGCATTTCAGTTTTGAGAATCCTCAAATCGAGAGTCACTTCCTCCAGTTTTTCTCTGCACACTTCTAACTCCAACTGTAGTGTTTCTGCTTTTTCTTCTGCCATTTCTTTGTCAAGGGTCGCCATCTCCACTGCTTCGGCCAAGTCGGCGACTTCGTCGGCGTGCGTTTCTTTGGCTTCGACTGCATCTTTGGCCTCTTGTTTTGCTCTTTGCAATTCTCTTTGTAAGCTGGCTTGCACTTCCATTATCTTTGATTTGAATTCGATTAGTTGTTCTAGTTGGATTTTTAATTTATCAAATTCCTTCAATTTTTCTTTGTCTTCTTGTCGCTTGATTTTTAAAGTGTCTAATTTTTCATTCAAGTCGCGGATTTGTTGGTTGCGATTCTCCATTTCTTGTTGTAATTGTATCATGTTGATTTTTTCCTCGACGGAGGTGATGGGTGTGGGTGTTGTTGTAATGACTTGGCCTGGAGTGAACTGGGGTTTCAGAGTTTCGACAAATCCGGTCTATAATTAAAGTTTTTTTAAGTTTTATAGTGTCACAGTCATTCCATAAAATAGTAGTGATACATTGGGTAAAGAGGGGGTCCTTTGTTTCATTTAAAATAAATTATTTATAGTTTGAGATAAAACGAAAATGAAATTAATACCTTTTTTCCTACTTCTCATTAATACAATAATAACGGAAACGGTGGTAACAATTTAGATATATTTTAAAAATTTCGTGTACATGGCCAGATGTTAACTAACATTAGTCTGATCGTCCCCACCAAAGTTTTACGTCATCTCAAAACTTTGCTAAGTAAATCACTCCGACTTTTAGGCTTTATTTATCTTCGTCCACTCTTTTGATATCACAATTTTAGTTTTTTCATTTTCTTTAGATAAGATTATTGCACAACAGTACAAAAGGTTAGCTAACAGTGCATACTGATAAATAACTGAACTAACCTAAGAATAAAACAAATGAAGTCATACATAAAAACTTAAAATAATACAATAAAAAAGGAACACAAACTTAGAATTTATTAAAAGAAATACCTAAGTCGGTACCTCATAAAATATCAAAAATTAGTCGGTTTTTAATGACTTGATTGGACATATCTAGAAATTGATTTAAGTGATTCACAATATAGGGAGCCAGATATGAGATTTTTCAATGTTTCGGTATCATAATTTTTCGTTTTCTCAAGTTTAATTTTTCCAATTTTTCAGTTTTTTGGACTTCCAAATTTTTCAATTTTTCGATTTTCCAGTTTCTCAATTTTTAATTTTTCAATTTTTCATTTTTTCGTTGCCTCAATTTTTCAAGTTCTTAATTTTTATTCATTTTTCCATTTTTAAGTTTCTTAATTTTTAATCTTTCGATTTTTCAATTTTCGTTTCTTCAATTCTTCAAGTTTTTGATTTCAAATTTTTGGATTTTCAAGGTTTTCATTTTATACTTTTTGATTTTTTCATTTTTGATTCTCTAATTTGACGATTTTGCAATGTTTCTACTTTTTTTGCTCGAAAAGTTGTAAAATCGAAAAATTAAAAATCGAAAAACTAAAATTCTGAAAAAATTGGAAAACTGAAAAAACGCAAAATTGCATATGGAAGAACTGAAGAAACAAAAAATTGAAACAGTGAGAAACTAAAAAGAGAGAAACTTAAAAATCGAAAAGAAAAAACGAATCAAATCAAAAAATTGGAAAACCCAAAAATTGTTAAATTGAAAAATTATAGAATCGTCAAAACTGTAAAGTCGAAAAACTGTAACGTCGAAAGATGTAAAAATTGAAAAATTAAATATCGAGAAATTGAATAATCGAAAAATGAAAACATTTTAAACTCGTAAAATTAAAAAAGTGAAAAATTTAAAAAATTATTCTCATTACTGAACATTTAAACAGAAAATTAGAAAAATCGTGAATCAAAAATTGAAGAAACTAAAAACTGAAAACCGAACAACTGCAAATTGAAAAATCGAAAAATTTGATATTGAAAAAAGAAAAATTATAAAATGAAAACAGTGAGAAACCGAAGAATTCAAAAAAATAAAGAAATTAAAAATTCGAAAAACGGAGGACATGAAAAACTGAAAAATCGAAAAACTGAAAAATTAAAAATTGAAAACTCGTGAAACTGCAAATCCAAAAAGTGCAAAATCCTAAAAAGTGAAACATCCAAAAGTTGAAGATTGGAAAAAATGAAAAATTAAAAAAAAAAACGAATATTTATGTAGCTGCATCGTAAATTTCAAGAAACAAAAAAAAATTGAAAAAATAAAGAAAATAAAAAACCGATAGGAAAAATTGCAAATCGAAAAATTGAAACTCATGAAATGATTTTTCATTTCCTTTATTTTTCACCTTTTTTTTTCTATTTTATAATGAATAGAATACAACAGTTTCGTCATTGTTTCGTTTATTCAATGTTTGAAACTTTCAAACTTTGATTTTTCAATTTCTCTATTTCCAATTTTTCATTTTTTGGATTTCCAATTATCCGATTTTCTGATTTCTTTAATTTTCAATGTTTCGATTTTACAATATATATTTCGTTGTTCCGATTTTGCACTTTTTTCATTTTTAGGTTCCTCAATGTTTAATCTTTCGATTTTTCAAGGTTTCATTTTATGCTTTTTGATTTTTTAATTTTTGATTCTTCAGTTTGACAATTTTGCAATTTTTCTGTTTTTTTTTTGCTCGAAAAGTTGAAAAATTGAAAAATTGCATGTGGAAGAACTGAAGAAATGAAAAATTGAGGCAGCGAGAAAGTAAAAATCGAGAAACTTATAAAACGAAAAACTGGAAAGAAGAAAAAACGAATCAAATCGAAAAATTGGAAAACCCAAAAAATCTTAAATTGAAAAATTATAGAATCATCAAAATTGTAAAGTCGAAAAATTAACATGGCAAGATCGAAAAATTGAAAACTTAAATATCCAGAAATTAAAAATTTAGAAAACGAAAAATTGAAAAATCGAATACATGAAATAGTTTTAAAATCGAACAATAGAAAAATGGAAAAATTCTAAACTCGTAAAATTAAAAAAGTGAAAAATTAAAAAAATTATTATTATTGCTGCATATTTAAAATGAAAATTAGAAAAATCGCAAATCAAAAATTGAAGAAACTTACAAATTTGAAAAATCATGAAACTGAAAAATCTAAAATTGAGAAAACGAAAAATTAAAAAGTTAAAAAGTTGAAAAATCCAAAAATTGAAAAATTCGACATTGAAAAAAATTATAAAATAAAAACAGTGAAAAAACAAAAAAATTAAAAAATCGAAAAACGAAAGACATGAAAACTTGAAAAATCGAAAAACTGAAAAATTTAAAATTGAAAAAATAAAGAAAATAAAAAACCGAAACGAAAAATTGCAAATTGAAAAATTGAAAATTGGAAACTCGGGAACCTCAAGCCGAAAAATTGCAAAATGTAAAAAATTAAAAATTAAAAAATTGGAAAACTGAAAAATTTAAACTTGAAAACTCGAAAAATTGCAAATCGAAAAACTGAAGAAACAAAAAAAAAAGCTGCGGGAGTGTTATTTACATCATTGATTTTTACTTTATAGAGGTTATCAGAAAACAAAAATCTCATTTTTTTTAATATAAATTTTCAAAGAGGGGGTATTTGTTTGGGTGTACTCCAGGGGCGAGAAAAGTTCTGTCGAAACACAGGATTGCCATTCGACAATTTAAACATTCTTCCAATACTTTCAGAATTCATTCATATATTTTGTTAAATTTACACACTATTTTTTTGTTGCATATAATTTTGCTATTTAAGTTGCGTCTTTAAGTTCTAAATTTTCTCTACAGTACACGTCACAGTGAAAATTCCTTGTGTACTACAATACATTTTGGTTGAATCTATATGAATGAAATGCTTTGAAATTTTATTTGCGTGGAGACACCCAGTTACTCCCAAAATGTTTTAAATTAAAAAAAAAATAAAAAAATAAAAAATCATTGCACAAAAATGTGACTAATAAGTAAAACCAAAATTAAATAAAAATTAATATTTTTGAAAATATCGAAAAAAAAAAAATGAAAAGTGAATTGGTGGAAGTCTCATATTTTATATTTACTAGACATAGTTTTGACTTACATAATAAAATATTTACACTCAAAAGTTTTCAAGGATTTGCATGTTCCTGAATGATCCCAAATCAATAGACCCACGCTATACCTATGTATTCCTATTTTACGGAATTACCAATACACCCAGAAATTACCTCAATAAACGAAGCGCGTTTAGGTATTTGACTCGCATGTTCTGCGGTATCCGGTTTTTCGACAACAGGTGAAGCCAGATGGCTGCGACTGCCTCCCAACGACTGACGGCTGCCTGCAAGCGATTGGCGACTACCCGACAGCGACTGTCTACTGTCAGCCAAAGATTGACGACTACTGGCCAAAGATAACCGTGAACTAACAGAACAAAACAAAACAACACATAGAAACTACAGCATGTTAAACAAAATACAGAGGGGGTTAGTTGCAACATAGGGTCAATGCACAAGGCGCTCTAAGTAATACCTTGAGGCAGATAAAGAAGGGGGTCTTTTTTGAGGCGACGACTTTCGACGCACTCTATCCATGCAGCACAAAAAAAAATTAATGTTATGGGGGTTAATTGGTTAAGTGGTACAGTTGCAACTTACGTAGTGGGTTTGGGTTTTGTACCAACGCTATAAACATCAAAAGGCTGTAGTAATCAAACAGACTCGTGGTAGTTGCACAAACCTGCTATGTCTTGTACGTGGCTCCGCAAACTCCTTGATGGGTTTCCCATGGTCGTCGAGGGGGATGACTTGGGTGGGTTTGACGAACAAGCCGTGCTTCTCTTCGCACTATTTTGATTGTCACGATCAGTGAAAACGGGTTGCTTTGAACTCACCTTAAAATATTCGACACCCTGAACTGTACCGTTGTTTTTACCTCTGGGTTCGTCCAATTTTAAACCTATCCAAGTATCGGATGCGAAATTCGTGGGACCTACAAAAGCGACAACTCCCTGCACATCTTTGCCGGTTAGTCTGACTTTTTGTCCAACTCTGAGATGTTCCGACATTATGGACCACTTTAACCTTAACACCGTTATACAATAAATTAATTATCAACACCACAATACATCCTAATTAAATTGTCTTTGGTTTTCCTAAATATTTAGTTTAATCACTGGATTGTGTTGAAAAAAAATCACAAAATTCTTTTTGGATGACGTTAGATTCGGTAATTTGACAGATCATGTGTCAAACTGTCAAAAAGTGTAACTGCGAAAATTCGCGAACATTCACGAATGACATCATGAACTAATGTGTGGTGCAGAACCGTACTCACCATAATGTTGTTACACAGGTCCGTAATGTAAAAATGTAATAATTACTCCCAACAAATGTAATCACCATTAACTTTCAATAGATAACAAACTAAACCATGAAAAAAGTACTCATTTACGTAGCTACAAACTAATAAGTTAAACAGGCCAACTTTTAAACGTAAAAAAGATTTATTGCCATAATTACAATAAAAAAATACGATCTTTGGTTAATGATATAAATAATTTATACAAGATAAAAACTATAGATATGCTTACAATGTGATAAAAATACATTCAATGGCACTTACGGTAACTTTGTCACTCTATACTTATGACTCAGGTAAAAGTCAAAATAACGCATTTACAAAATTACATTACGTCGATATATTTTTATTTTTCGGAGGTTTCGGTGGCGGCGTCGGCGGTGTATCATCGAAACCCCCGTCTGGATCGGGCGCTGGAATTTTAACTTGTAAACTAGTCCTCGTCGAATTTCGTTGCGAATACAAAAAACTTGTATTTTCATTGTTTGGTAAATTACAATAATCGACTTCTCGTTGTTTCAGGGGTATAGGTGGCGGCACTATATCTTCCTCACTAACACTCGAATCCGTCGTACCCACCGAGTCTCTATTACTGCTACTACCGGAACTTCCGGCACCTCGTAAGGTCACCGATAAACTGCTCGACCTTGACGAAAACTGACCACTCGTAGGTCTACTCAACCTCTTTTCCTTTTCGACTTCGGAACGTAGAGGCCGCTTTGGGGTTAACTGCAAACTAATAATATAAATCATACCACACAGTTTCTAACAATTACCTCTTCAGTTAGTTCAACAATAGGCGTTCCATTAGTGAGGTCTTGGGTGTACCATTGGGTTCCTGAAATGGTGGAAGGGCTTGTTGTTTGATCCGATTTGCTTGAACGTCTTTTGTCTTTGGGGATTTTGAACGACTTTTTATGGTTAAGAGCAGGTGTTGTGGTTAGACTTTTACTTGGAGACATTAGCAAACTTTTCGTGTTGCTGCTTACACTAGATTTGCTGTAAATTTAAAATGTGACAACCTATGTGTTTTTGTGAAGTATACACCATCAAAAACTAAGCTCTGTGCAGTGCTCCTACTCGCAAAAGAATGCAGTAATTGTAGTCACAAACGAGGTGTCTTTCATTCAACCAATGCTCTGTTGACAACACTGTATTCCCTAGTACGTAAGCAAAACGTCGGACTTATTCAACATAAACGAAAGTACATACTTAATTATGGTACTTTACACAATAACAACAAGCCTAGGTTTTTACTGTGCAGAATGATGAATAAAACAAGTGATAAGTGAGGTTATGAATGTTGAAGCGGAGGTCACCTCGTCTGTGACAGTGAAACTTCCATGCAAATATTTCTACTCAAATAATTACCCTTAAAATTAGTCCCCCAAGTTGTGTTAAATAGAGGAGATAACTAATCTATGTTAATAAGGTATAAATTAAGCATACGAAGTGTTGCGGTTATTCATCGGCGAGTGCTGAGCACGTCTGAAAAAAGTAACAAACATTAAAATGCCCTCTCTTTTCAAAATTTAACACAAAAACCACTACAACAGCTTAAAAACTTGGGTTAGTTGCAGAGCTCAGACTGTATTTACTTGTTAAGCATCGCTTGTTAGTTTTTTTTTTACGAACCTGCCAATGCTCGGAGAAGTGGCAAAATTAAAACTAGCAGTAAACTGTCTTAAAGAAGCGACTTGGGATTTCGTCAAGCTCGAAACTCTGCTCCGACCATCCACATTACTATATCAAACCCAGATCAAATACGGAACATGCGTGTTACGTCATCGTTGAGATCACGTTACACGAATATAAACGAAATACTTACTCGGTTACCATCGACACGTTGGACAGTCGAGAGTCGTTTGCGATACTGTGATGCCTCCTCATGGTGACCTGATTTTCTAATTTAATATCACAGTTCTAAAAAAACAAAAAATAATTAGAGCTTGTCTTGTAGTTTGACGCTCTCAAATACCCCAAATCCGTATTTTTCAGTAACGCTCTCTTTCATCTTCGCAAAGCAATCCTCTAGGCGTTTCTGCAAAGGTTGTAAATTTTCAGGAGCTTTCTCTTTGTGTATCCGAACACACAACTCCAAGAGCGGTATTTGGTCGGCAATCAAGTCTTTCAACTTTTGTAAAAGCAAATCATCTTCTTCGTGATGAGTTTTATATTCTTCAGTGAAGAAAGCCTCCTCGTAGTTTTTAATTCCGCCCATAACCGCAGCATCTAATATTCCAGTCAAAGTCAAACTCAACGGATTGATTTGCATGTTCTTATCCGCGTTGAACATGACCACGTAGTTTTTCAAAGTCTTGTTCGCTTTCTCCATAGTTTCGATGGCGTTGCGTAGAGGCGAAATCTCATGGGTGGTTGACGAACTCACAAGAAACCACCCCAAAATACCAGGCAACGGATACGTCGTCGTCAATTCCGTACGTTCGAGCCACAAATGCCCAAATTCGTTTTTATCATCAATAAACGGATCCTTCCGGATGACAGGTCGCGAGAACGTGAACTTCTGAATATCGTTCACTTTGTAGTAATTCAGGATTTGCTCAGACACGGGCTTGCCTGAAAAACGGTGTTTTTTCTCGTCCATAATCGGGTCGACTTTGTTGATTTGGATCCCTGGAAAGGTATTAAGGAAAAATGGTGGGCGTAGTAAGTATACCCCCCCCCCCCCCCAAATGTTAAAAGGATACATTGCCTATCCGATTCTGTGATGTCCTCACCAGGAGGCGTCAATTTATTCAAGAGTTCTGCCTTCGGGAACTCGTTCAAGATCCGCGCGTTGAAATCGGCCAACCTTTCGTACTCCTTTCCCCTATAGATGAACATTTTGTTTTGTAAAAACTGCGGAAACCCTTTCCCGAAATACCCGACGCGGAAGTACTCAGGGATGGCCCGACTTTTCTTCATAATGTCTTCGTAGAACTTCGCCATTCTTCGATACAGTTGGCTCAGTTGTTCGTAATCGAATGTTTCTGATTGGAACTGAGTAGCTAGCTCTTGGCACTTCTCGATAGCGCACTCCCACAGTCTGCCCTTGTCGTAGTTTTCGATTATATTGTAGTAGAGAGCTTCTTTGAGTTGACGATGGGTTTGGGCATGCGCATGTCTATTGCTTTTGAGGATTTGGAGTAGGTCATCGTCTGACCAGTTCAAAAGTTTGGCATGTAATTCTATGGTGTATGCCGCTTCTGTGTAATTGTCGCATTCCATGTGGAGGTCGTAGAGTTTGTTCAAGTAGCGGATGTACATTTCTTTTCTGTTGATTTCGGAGTAGAAGTCCTGTTGGGGTTTTAAGAAAAGTTAAATTCAATGTCGGTTAACGAAATTTGATAACAATGAGATTCGTTTTTTCTAAACTACATATAGTACTGAAACTCTCTATTTCAAGAATAAAAACGCGCAAGACACAAGGAAAATATTAACTTAGTATGCATTGAGCAAATAAATAATCACGTGAAAGTCGCATGAACAGCCTATCCGACTTCAAGACACGTATTTTCTAACCAATAAGAACGATTTCATTACGGAAGGAGTTGTCAATTATTTCCTAAACAAATTTATTCGGCATATACTCACCAACAATGTGACTGTGCAACTCATCCGATGCTCCTTGTTCTCGTCGGTAATAATACACCTATACTCCAACAACCTCTCCATCAACCTCGTCACAGTCGTAACAAACTTAATCCCTGAATCTTTAATCGCAGAATGCTGAGTACAATAGTCCATCATAATACTATGAAACAAATCTTTATAATTCTGATCGCCTTTTCCTCCCTCCACCAAAATATCCAGCTTCGCGATCATCTCATTCTCGAAATCGTTAAAATTCCCCTTAACGTGTTTCGAATTCCTCGACGTATTTCCATAACTTTCAAGCTCGTACCGCGACGAATAAAACTCGCACTGCATCATATCGAAAAAAATCGGAATCGTCGCCTTCCTCAACTCCGATTCCGGTATCAGCGTCATTTCTAAAATCGATTCGACCAAACTAGGTACGAACTGTACTTTATTCTGGCCTAAATTGAACCACATGGAACGAATCTCAAACCCGGTTTCTCGCCTCATATCTTTGTAGATTCTAATAATCTTCATTCTTTTACTGAACGAGAAATTCTCCAACTGGAGCGCTGGCTGCGTCATAAATGCGATGGCGCAATGGAAGAAGTTACTCCAAGCTTGGTACTCGAATTTCTCGAAAAAGCAGTCACGAATAGTGTGTGAAAAGAAGCGCAGTGCTTTAAGAATGACGCTGTTTTGGAGCATAATCATGTCGCACCAGTCGTGCGGGAAGACAGATTCGTTCACTAACCCCTTAAACACTAGCAGAATCTCCATGAGGAAGTCCAAGGTGTCGAAACGCGTCTTGAAATTCTCGATGTACGAATTGTAGTGACGCTCCGACATTTGTCGAAAGATGTCGATCATGATGGACACCAAATTCCCCTAAAAACAAAAGTCGGGATTTTTTCTTTCGCCAACTGCTACGCACCGCTTGTGGCGACTCCCTCGTCATATTAATGTGGGTTTGGATGACAGTCCGCAACACCATCATAATTATTTCCAAGATGTCGTCGTACGTAGGGCCTACGTCTTTATTGAAGAGGAGATCCAAGATGTCGCTCAAGATTTTGATGCACAACTCGACCTGAATTCAAGGATTAGAAAGTTTCTTTGGTGGGTTGGGGGGGGGGTTAGTTTTGATACAAGCGTAGCGATTATTAGCAAATTTTGGAAGATTGAAAAATGGGTTGGGAGTCACCTCTTCTGAATATCCTCTGTGCTGGTGGACGCACTGTTCCGTGGTTCCCAAAAGTTGAGCCACCTTAGCCACCGATCGATTCTGTAGCCTTCCGTCCTGTCTTCTGTCACCCTATAATAATACCCAGCAAACCACTACACTACTGAGATTACTCAAAATAAATTAAATCAAATTAAAAATATAAATACACAATTTAGAAGTCACTACTCGTTCAGAAAACATTTTGATGAAAGGTGGTTATTAACTGTGAGAAGACGTTTTACTTTTTTAACGCAAACATTTTGGATGTTAGATTCAAAAACGTGTTAATTGTTCAAACTGTTAATTTAATACACAATCATGACGAACATTATTCTAATATTTATGTTATAAAAACACAATTCTATTGTGAAAACTTAATAATATTACTTTGTTCGTCAAAATTTGAATAGCTATTATTATAATAGTAGCTGCATTTCATTACATTAGTGAGAATTACTTTGGAAAAATTTTGAGATGACGTCATTATGTTTTTGGAAGGGATGAATCTGGTGATTCGCCAGATTCAAGATAACCTTAAAGCCCATGCAACATTTCGGAACGATCGACTTTATAATTTCTTTTTTCTCAAAATATAGAAGCGGAATATTAAAAATGGGGGTGAATTGATAAATCACAGACGTAGATAATATTTGTTGCACATTTGACGTAGGATTTATTTGGAAAAATTCTGAAATGACGTCTTCAAATATCTGGTGGAGATCAACAAATCTTTTTGCTTTTTAATATTTACACAGTAATTCTAAGTATACCCAGATTTCACAGTATTTAATGTGTTTATTAGTTTCGAATATTATCTGTTTAAGAAATTCGCCAAAAGACGATAGACACGGAAATGGGAGACCTATTTTTTCACATTTTATAAGCTACTTTACGCTCGGAAAGCAAAATAGCTCTTTTTTTGCAGCAATGTATTTTATACAAAGTAAAAACAATCTATAACACAATGCTTTCTTCTAAAATTGTAGCTAGGCAGCCTAAAAGCATCAGCAGAGCGTTATCTTTGCTCTTAAAAAAAATCCCGACTCATAAAACCATACAACTCGAGCAAAACAATGTTTTTTCTCTTGGTAATTTTTCTTGACTGTTATGATTTTTTTTTTCAGATTTTTGTATATGGATTGACCACTAACGTCACACGGAAAACAGTAACCTATATATTACACATTAGAAAACTAATGTTCATTTAACTTAAAACAAGCCAAAAAAGTAAAACGTTATTCCTTCAAAAACTCTACAAACTACCCAACTCCACTGCCTAAAACCTAAGTACATTAATACGTTATTCCACTCCTAGACCATGCACATTTTCCAATATCGTACATGCACTAGACTACATAACCCCATGCTAAGCTCAAGTGTACACGAAACAAGAAAGAAATAGTAACAGAACAGAACGTGTGTATAAACTCTGAGAGACTAACCATTGCAGAGAAGACTTAGACGAATCGTCGGTGACCAAGGTAACTGTGCAAAAGATCAGATTATTTCTGATTCTGTCGAAAAAATTGCAAGGATCGTTTCAAAATATGCAAAAAACACATTCCGGATGTTTTATTTACATGATGGTCGATTTTGATCATTGTGCATTTGTTGGTTTGATTTTTTAAAGCGCGCAAGCAATAAAAGCCTTCTCTTACCTCGTCGTTCACCTCGAACAGCACCTTCACTTGTTTGAGGATGACGGGTAGGATGATCTTGCGACAGTCGGCGTACAGGAACAACTGACTGTGAACAATATCGTTGATGGTCATCATTTTCTGCTTCGTAAGGCGGCGTGTGGGGATGTTTTCGATGATGTCACACAAGATCAAGCTGTAACAAAAGCATAGCATAATCTAGGAGTACTCCGACAAGAATTAGAAGAGGAAAGGATACCACAAAACAAATAAACATAAAGTAATAAAATTCGAAATTATAGCAAATAAAAATAGTGTCTGTGTAAAAATTTATGTACGAGTTTAAACAGTATTCGCGACAAAAACCCATACGTAATACACAGAAAATAAAGAAAGGTAGGAAGAAAATGAAATGATAAAAAAATACACCTACCTTAATTCTTTGGCGTCAAAAACCTTCAAGATGTCGGGGATAGTACTTGGTAGATACTTTAAACAAGCACCTTGTTCTCGTAGTATAGTATCAGACGGCGAAGACATCATACCAGTAATATCCTGTAATAAATCGCGAAAATTGTCTTCGAAATCGTCTTCAATATCTTCGACGGGGCACAAAGTCATCAAAAGACGTGACCTCGAAACGAATCTGACCACGTACTGTAGCGACTTCATCGTTTTAAAAATCAGCTGACTGTTAGAATTGCCGATGATGTTTTTCAGAACGGAAATAAGTTTTCTGGAAATAAAGTGTCACTTAAGTTAGTAAAATGTGACTTAACTCACTTATGTGCCAAAGTTGCGCTAAAACTTTCTTTGATGTATAAATCTAAAACCGGTTCGAAGTGTTGGTACTTCCAATCGTTACTGACTAGACTGATGATGTGTAATAAACAATCGAAAACTAAAAGATCGTACGTATCTGTATCTGAGTAGCTCATCAAGATGTTAAAAAGAGAATCTAAAATATCTTGGAGGAATTTAACGACTTCTTCGCCATCTACGTGGAGCAAAGCTCGCAAACAAGTCTTTAAATTGTCTCTGTCGGTTTGCCAGTTTAAGAGTCCCAGCAAGTCAACTTAAATAAAAAGTTAGCTGAAAAATTTAAAAAGTGGCGAAAACTTACCGTTTTGAGTCAACTTGGTTGAACAAATATTGCTCGAAATAATAAAAACATCTTTACTGGGAGTCAAACCGGCGACCTGGGTTTTAGGTCCGGTATCCTTCGTCTCGCTAGCAATAGATAGCAGTTTAAAATAATCTAAACTTTTCTCATCGAACTTCTTATAGTCGACCTTATAAACTACTAAATGATGCCTTGCGTCTCTCAGAGTCGTTCCATTTTCTTGCATCAACTTAACGTACGACATAGCAAAAGGTTTTTCGTTCTTATCTTTCGCCTCGTTCGACGATCTATGCTTAAAAGTAAACTTCAAATGACTCGTCTTGAACTCCTCAATCGGTATAGCCACTTTGAAAGTTTCGTACCAGTGAGGTTTGTCTTCATGATAATAAATCATCGATTTGTACTCATCAAGAGGGACAATCCCTGAACCCAACGCAATCACCCCCTAAAAAAAAACACACTAGTAAACAACCCCAAAAAATACTACACCAAGCCATACAGGAATTGCCTCTCCCTTCTCGTTACAAACTCTAACCACCACTTCAACGTTTTTATCACAGGTTTTGTTTCCTTTACTGAATTCGCCCTTAATCAGCGTCAAGTAAAGGTCGTTTCTTACGTCACCAGGAAGAATCACTTCGGGGAAGCCCATTTTTCTTGCTATCGACAAGTTCCCTAATACTAGGTGAGGGTTTTCTTCCCTCACTTGTTTCAAATCGCCTCGTAATAACTTCATGCCGACGAACAGCGCTTGGTTTTTGTGTTCAGTCTTCGCGAAATCTTTGTTCATTATTTTCTTCAGGGTTTGTTCGAGGTTATCTTTGTCGCAACTGAAATTTTTTTATTAATGGCGGTTTGGATTTTTTGGGGGTTTGTACTTGACGAAAGGGACTGCGAATTCTTGTTCTAGGTCGCTTTCGCGTTCGCCGTTCATGAACTGGGTGATTTCCATCGCGGCTACGCCGAAGGGGCGGCGCATACCTTCGGTGGTACCTTTTTTGGTGGTTACGGATACGGAGCTGCGGCGATGGTCCAGCTCTTTGATTTCCATGGCCCCCACACGGACTACGTAGCAGACTAGGTAAATTTTTTCGCGTTCGAGGTCGCGTTTTCCTAAATCCTAAATAAAAGCGAAACAGTCATCCATTCAGTTTTTGAAATCGACTTCATAACGTTCACAAATATTGTGTCTCAGGAAGTTCAAAAGCTGCTATTTATTTACTCTTTTTTTTTAATTGCAAAATTGTCACATGACTTCTGGCTTAAAATTTGTGTTTTAAAAGTTCGAAATTTATTAGATTTTCGAGTTGAATATTTTACGATGCAGAATATATAATATTAAAATTTCTAACATATAAAAATTGTGTTGTATTTGCCCCAAAGTTAGTACTTGTATGGGGCTATAGGTACGTATGTTTGTATTTATTACATATTTTGATAGAAAATTTAACAATAACCTGGAAAAATCAATATTCAGAATGTTTACTATACAGAGCGTGAAACTTTCCGTCTCTTACTATTCTAAAAAATTATACGTTAAAATGGAGGAAAAAGTTAATTGTTGTGATACGCCAGTATAGTATAATTTACGTTTTTATTTAACATAAAAAACACTAATTGTAAAATTTTGATTGGAAATAATTTTAGTTTAGAATTTCAAATTCTTATATATAATTTCACACTCAGTAGATGTTACGTTACACCAAACGTAACACGTTACATAAAACAACGGCACCAAAAAATTTTTTCCTGCGACAACATAGTTGACGAAGTGCGTTAACAATTTTGTCGTACCGTAATATGATGAAGTTTAGTTTACTAGTGACTAATAAATAAAGAAAATGTCTTGCCCAATAGGCATATAATTAATATAAAATAAACAAAAAATAAATTAACACAAAAAAAAAATATTTTTACGACAGAAATTAACACTATATTTGAACTGGAGAAAGTAAAGTTGGTGTGAAAAATATCTCCATATAAACTAAGACAATTTTATAGTTTTATACAGAAGTAAAACCGGCTGTTGTACTGATAGTAAGTGTTTGGAACTTTGGAAAACACTAGCTTACACACCTAGATCTAAAAACTGTTCAACTGTATTACAGGAATCCCATTTGTCTACAGATAAAATTCATATAATTTTGACATTCTACTAAATGTCGTTTTCTTACATTTTTTGCATATTAATTTGTAACATATTTTCCTCACACCATTGAAGTAAGTTATCTAAATTTTTACAATCTTTTAATCAATCTCTAAAACAGCTGAGTAGATAAAAAGATAAAAGCATTACAATCAAGACTAGATAAACGTCATTAAAAAATAAGACACAAAACAGATAACCCAATTTGATCCTTGCACAACCCCGGCATAGCGTGAAAAAAATTAAAATTGTAGTCAATTGAATTAAAAAAAAACTGTAATTTCGGTTTGGGTCATTTAAAAACTAAATGTTCGGTTTATTTTGTTAGAAAAAGCAATAACCAACGACTAGATCTCGGTTTTTGTGTATATAAAAAATACAACCCGTACTACAGAAGGAAGCACTTCGTGAGACATTTATCCTCGCTTTGTTGTAGGTTAAGGTATTACTGACCTCTCGCCGTAAATTCTGGTGAAGTTATTGTCCTTCGGTCGTAAATCCTAAATACCAGATAATTCATTCGTTTTGTGTTAAAACTGAGAAATTACCATCGTAATGATACTGAATCGTATCCTTTATGTTACCGGTCACGCAAGGAATAACGTCGTGCGATGGTGGAAACTAACGCAGTATATTCACAAATTTTTGAATTAATTCAACACCAAATTTCACAAATTAATTTGATAAAAACGCTCAGAAAGGTCAGTTTATATATCACTAACCGCAGGTTAAAGAGTAATCTATACAATTTTCAGCTAGTGTTATTATTTATTACCGTATAAAATAAGTGTAATAATGAAAAAAAAAAAAAAAAAAACAGCACACAAATCAGTTAAATTGGGCAGTTATAAATTTTAAAAGTGTATATTCGAATTTAAAAAGTTGAAAACCAGATGATGCCTTCAAATTGAATCAGTTATTCCGCAATCTAAAGAGGAAACATTTTTATTAATTTCTAGTTATGTAATGAATAAAAAAACAATGAATAGAATTTATTTTAATAATTTTTAATTTCTAGTTTCTTTGAGTACATATTTTCTTTTACAAGCTACACTTCGAACAAATTTCAAAAGTATTACTTCTATAATAGATGCTCTTATTGTTATTGAAAGTGGCATTCTTTTAAATCAAAACAGTAATCGAATCAATTAAAAATACCCAAGAGGACTTAAAACGTGTTTTCGAATTTACTTAATTCAATTATCTAAATTAAGTTTTTTCATATAACTAGAGTTGTAAGTAAATAAGAGTAATTGGCAATTTTGACGTTTTTGACTGCGCATTTCGTAAGTTTTATATTAATTTTAAAATTTTTAAGTCATATTTGGATTTAAATTAAGTCAAAGATTAGTATTTCTGATAGTTTTTAGTTTTCCCCAAAGTGTTTTCATTTTTTGGCATCTTCTGAATTTTTATTAAAATCTTGAAAAGGATATAATGGTATTCACAATTTTTGTTACACAAAACAAAAACATGCTGCACCCTCTAAATTAAAATAGTTATCTCACATGCGAATCACGATTGCTAAAACAAATTATTCGCACAAATTAGCTATTTTTGACGCTAGACTTTACTGTATCTAAGAGAAGTATAAGACGTACAAGAATTAATTATTTTCAAGTTTAAAATTCAGTATTTCTAAATTTTTTCACAACTTCCTTACTTTACAAAACTCTCACTTTTCAATATCAAAGTGAAAATTTACATAGCCTTTAGCATTCTGCGTTTGAATTATAACTTCCGTTTCCAAAATCTACACTACACAAAAATACTCACCGTAAACATCACCCTCAAATTATACATCTGATCCAAATCGCACATCAACCCATCTTTCGACCACCTCACGACATAATTTTCGGCAATCGGTTTGTACTCTTTTCCGTCATACAGCGTCATCAGCAATTCAGCGTCCTCCGTCATCTTACAGGTAAAATTCTTAACAGCTACTATGAAAATGTTAGAGTATTGTTGAATGGCAGTTTTCGGTTGACTCCCTTTTGATTCATTCTACGCACGCCATTAACAGTCAAAAAAAAAGCAAACAAAAACAACGTCCAGTCCTCACCTTATCAGACCTACTCATCCGCTCCGTAGCGTTCTTATGCAGATAGTATAACTGCAACGTGCTCGTCTTTTCCGGTTCGATCAGATTTCCGTTCTTATCCCTAACTATTAAATCTAAACCTAAGGTCTTATTACCGACGTCTATTTCTTCGGTCGCTTGTTTCGTCACCCTTTTCAATTCGTCAACCGGCAGCGTACCGCTGACTATTTTGCTCCTGTGCGTTAGCAAATCGTAGATTCGGTTTTTGATTTGCTCGAAGTCTTTGTTGTGATTCTAAAAATGGGAGTGTCGTAGAGCGAACGACGAAAGCGACGCGAATGGTCAAGCGCATCCGGGACACTTGTTGACGAAGTCTTCTAATTTCCATTTTTACAGCTCTAAGCTTCAAAAAATTATACACCAAAATAAAATTTACTGAGAATCTCATCAAACAAAGAACAATCATGTAATTATATTAAAAAGAAATAACAAAATTTTATGATGACATTATCTTTTTACCAAGGACACATACATCAATTTTTATAGGTTCAATGAAATACTAATAACACCTGCACCAAAATTTCAGATAAATGAGGTGAGCCGTTATTAATTTAATCATAAAATATATTGCTTCATTCATAATTTTTTTAGACTTCCTGTATAAGCAGTTATAAAAAAGTATTAATCTTCAAATTATTGGCGGGGATGATCAGTTTGATTAGCGTTTTATCACTTATACGACATTCTTAAAATACCTACGTAAAATTTCATAACAATCAGTCCAGTAGTTTCGGAAATTATATATCTAATAAAATCACCAACAAACAATAGATGATGGACAGATAACATACAGACCTACTTTTTTAGACTCTAGAGATATTGGAACGTGAATGAATTTAGTCTTGACCTTATTACAATATTTAATAACAATTTTTCATTTTTCTAGTCCAGTACTTGCGAAAATCACATTACCTTACTTTTGTTGACAATTTTTTCAATTGAAATGCAACTAAATAATTTTATTAAAGCAAAACATTAAGTGGTTAAGATCTAATCTTAAAGTATACTTTGAGATTATCATAAAGGTGACAAATCGCTAACCAAAATTTATCTACGTATTTCTTCCGCAAGATTAATGAATTTTTAACTTTACTTAAAGGGCTATCTCAAACGAAAACAAACTTTGGAATCTTAGCAAAATAAATAATCTATTTGACCTAATTATCTTTTAAGTACTTTTCTGGTTTGTTTGTAGTTGTTCCCGCAAGATGGGTCGACAACAGATGAATATTCTAACAAGCTTAAATTGAAATTAGATTTACTGTCGGTTCTTAGGAAATATTATTTTATAAACAATTTCAAAATATTTTGATGACTTTTCGCGTTCTAATACAGGCTAACACATCGCTGTCTCGGATGCACTTAGTATTCGTGAAATCAACTGGTATATAAATACCACGTATAAGTTCTTCCAGTGGATGCCCCATTCCTTGAGCACTGAAGTGATCTCCTGTGCAATCGAGGGTTCCTTGAAGTTGAAGGTGGGTGTGGGTCCAGAATGGTCTACGGTACATGGTTTGACGTGTACGTAATTCTTGGGAAAAATGCCTTTCCTGTGCCTGTCGTGCAACACACAGCCGTAGTACCAATGCTCTTCTTCCTCGAGTAAATGGAGGGAATCCCCGACGGTCAGTCTCAGCTTGAACTCGCTGTCGCCCTCGAAATTGTATATTGCTAAAGAAAAGCAACTTTCTCAATTCTCGTATTTCGTGCGACAATCTGGGGGCTACAAATGATGAAATTGCATGTAGCGAAAACAATTAAGGCCGAATTTATCTCACGCCGCTCTGTACTTTAACGAGGATGTTGGCGCGAATTGGGTCAATTAATTTGAGCCCTAAATTACAACGTAGTCGTCCTTGAATGAACCCGCCGAGTTTTGTGCAAAAATTTAGCATCACCTTTGAAAACCTTGAGGTCGTTCTATCGAAAATTCCCACACGTTTTGTTAGAAAAACACGTAAATGACTGGCAGCGAGCCCCGCTTAGATTACATCATGGGATTTAATTACTGTAGGAATTTACAGGAGTCAATTGAGTGTGTCAGACGCGCTGACTTGAATGAACGACGAATGATTCAATAATAATAATGTATTAAATTCACGTTTGATGACATCTGATGAATCAACATTTACATTTTCCTCGAGGAAGTGGTAAATAAAATTCAGATAAAAAGTGGGAGGGGCTGCACGTAATTTGCTTAGTGCATCTCCCAAAAGCGTGTACGAGCGTTATTGATCACAAATATTTGACTTTTACGTGAGGTTGTTTGCTAAAAATAATAATGCGAGTTGGGGGGCTTCGGAAATCAACAAGTTTCACCAAAAGTTGGGTTATGTTTACATGCGAAGAAAGCGATTGAATGCGAAAACGTTTACCTATGCCGTAACTGAAGTCGTCAGGTACTGGTTCCCACACATTCATTTTAATAAACTTTAATAAACACCATCAAAACCAAGCGCTAAAAATATGCAAACACTCGAGAAGCCATGTTTGTGGGCATTTCCCCCACCACTCGACTTTGACACTTGACGCGCAACAATCACAAATAAACTCTCCTTCTTCCATGCGCGCTACCAACCTAACAAAATGCGGCAAAATTCAAACATGACAACGAATTATGCGAACGTCAGACAAAACTTGTCGCCTCAAAAAAGGGCGTCAATCCCCCCGCCGCCTCAAACAACGGCGCCAAACCCCCCAGAAGAGTCCCCCTACTCAATGACCGAACAACTCCTTCGAGAAAGACTCCAACGTCCTGTTTATGGCCACCTCCCCAGACAAATCTACGCAGGCTTTTTAGGTACGAAAGAAACCGCTTCTAACTTATTTAAAAAAAAGCCTCTAGCATGTCTCGCATCGCTCTCCTTCGGCACCGCTCTTGGATGGACGAATTCCGTTTCCCAACACGGGTACCAAGTGAAAACCGACCAGTCCACATCGAGCGAAGTTAGTTGGCTTATAAGCATCATGTTGCTCGGCTGTAGCCTCGGAGTCACGTCGAGCTCACTACTCATGCGTCAGATGGGCCCCAAAAAAGTCCTCCAAGCGGTCGGACCTTTCTACATCTTCAACTGGTGGATCACCCTCGTTCCTCAAGTGAACGTCCAAATGGCAGGACGCTTCTTTTTGGGGTTTCTGGGGATGTCGTACTCCAATGCAGGCGAAAATCTGCTTATACAGACCATTGACTTCGGTCTTCGGCGCTACATTACCGTGCTCTACAACTCCATGATGATTATGGGTTAGTTTTGCGTGCGGTAAAGGTGGCTTTGTTACAGTTGTGTTGTAGGTGTATTCATCAGTCGTGTTATCGCTGCAGCAACTACCACCTTCTGGTTGACGGTAATTTGTGCAAGTTTCCCGATTCTCCACTATGCGTTGATTCAAGTAGTTCCAGAGAGTCCCGTTTTTTTGTACGCGGGAGGCCACGAACTGGCGGCTAAATCTCTAGCATGGTACCGGGGAGAAGGTAATTTTTACATGGATATGGCCAACATTAAGAAAGACTGGGACGCGTCCAGACAGGACTCAGATGCTTATCAATACATGCTTTTCTCCAGAGTCGTCTATAGACCTCTTCTCGTTGTAATGTGCGTGGTTTTTTTTCAAATCTGTGCAGGCTACTTGATCTTCATGTTTTACACTCTTGAAGCGTTGACCGACGGTAAGGTCGTCTTCAGTCCTTTTGCAGATTCCTGTATATTTGCTATATACTTTGTTTTTACTAAAATGTTGTGGGGTTATCTGCACACTAGATTCTCGTGGAAAGTGAGAGGTTTTCTCATATCTAGTTGTCTTTTTACAAGTGCAAGTCTTGGTCTTTTCAGTTTGTATCTGCTATTAAATCAGTACGACATTGACCTTATGATTAATACTGAGTGGAATCTGTTGGTGATTGCCTTTTTTTTCCTTTTCTCTTACGACATGGGTCTAAACCATTTTTCTAAAATACTCATCTTTGAATACATGCCTTTCCAAATGTACAAAAATACCTATCTGGTAATACAAGCAGAGTATTGGCTGCTATCCTTCGTTAATATCTATACCTTCGCGACAACCTTCGAGCGATTTCACTCCTACACATATTTTGCGGTTCTCTCATGTCTGACGTTCCTCGGAAGTCTTTTCTGTTACTTCTTCGTCGTGGAAACTAAGGGAAAGAGTCTCATCCAGCTGCAACTACAGTTTGGTGGTAACCCTATAGGCACACGTGGCGCCCTCTACCACCAGATTCGACAGACGCTGTAAAAGTGGGACGGGTTAAATAAAGCAAAAATTAGAAAAGAACATGTTTATTTTTTGAAGATATTTATTTCAAAATTTTGTGGAAGTCCAATAGCCCTACAGTTTTATTTCACATGCTGTTTCTATTGTGGCGTGTTGCATATTATTGTCGACTGTGTTTCCCAGCCAATCAGTAGGTGAACCATTTTCTACATTTATAAAATGTTTTTAAAAATTGTGATTATAAAAATATACTTAGTAAATAGCACACCATAACTGTTTTATTGTGTTTGTTGTTTGAAAAAATGTTTGCGTACATAAAGAATCCATGGAATGTCGTCTCCTGTCGTCGTATTTTTTGTTAATGGTGATTAAGAGAATGACAAAAATATGCATCACGTTCAAGCGGCTTGAAAGAAATGTTTATCACTGAAATAAGTCACAAATATCACTAATGTATTCTACAATACGAAATTAAAACAATACCGCACTTCACCTTGAATTGTTTTAAGTTCACTTTGAAACCAACTTCACTGGTTTTGCCTTTTAAACAAAAGTCTCGTCATATATATACTTTTATATATATATTTATATATCAATATTAGTAGTTTATTCTCCTAAAGAATTTAAAACATAAATGTTTTGGGCTATTCACTCATACACACATGGCAGCATTTTCTAAATAAACAGATTTACAAAATAATGTGCAGAATATCAATATAAAACGCTCCTCTTCAAGACCAGAAATGTTTATATAAAAAATACCGCGGTGTACTTCTCCTCCGACGTTCAACGAAATAATGCACTTATGTATTTAGAAAAGAATTCTAATTAAAACTAAAAAGATTTTACAAGATAAACTATCTATTCAATAGCATGAAATTTGGACAACTAAAACTAACACTACTAACAAATGGTCGTTCTTGACATGGCAACTGGTCCCGCTTTCCGGACAAAATAACAAGATTTACAAGAACTAATCCGTCACGAAACCAAGTGTCACATCAAAAATCCATCGGGAGTAAAAAAAGCATGAATATACCATTTTTACAAAAACATGACAGAAAGAATCGTTAAGTATATTCTTTATACAAACGCGGCGGTTCATTTCGACGTCAAAATTTCTACAAATAAAATAAAAATCGTCCACATAAAACTCATTTTCCTCTCTAATCAACGAATACTAAACATCAGTTTGTTTATATACAGACAAAAGAAAATCATTCTTGTGCAAAATGAACCTCCGACAAAATTAGCTGTGATGTAATAATTTCAATTCACGATATGTATACCTTAAGGGATGAACAAAAATGAACATATATAATGTGACTGACGTGCACTTCACACATTCATAGCAGCTTGCAGCCCAAACTGAAACACATCATCATTCATCAAAGGAGATGTTTGTTAGTGGACCTCTGACGGTTCTGGTTTTGATGCATGGTGGTTCGCTGGATCTGGTGTGCTGATCGGCTGAAACCAAACAAACGATCAGACAAAGCGACCTTAAGTATAAGAGGACAAAAACCCATGCACACCGTAAGAAAAACGGCGAAAAGAAAAAATAAGAGAAAGCAGACACCTTGGTTACTTTATGTTGATAGTGGTAGTACTCACGAGAGCATGGGGTGGAACTACTGGACCCACCGGAGGGGCCGGCTGAGGTGTGGGGGGCGCAGCGCTCGGAGTTACCGTGTGAGGGGCTTCGTGAGGTGTCGTCGAGTGCGCCTGTTGGACGGGAAGTGCACCACCTTGATAGTAGCCTCCATTTACCCCAGCCGGGGACACTGTTCACACATTTAATGTTAGTCACAAGCTCTAACTCTCGAAAAGGGTATACTAAGATGCATGCCGGGGTGTATTACGTCAACCGAATAAAATACGCACACTATTTTTGCATACCAATAAAATTTTACCATTCAAAAATTAATCCATAAATTACAGATCCTCGGTCAAAACTTGGGACCTGGCCGTATTCAAACACAGCCGTATTTAATCTACTTTGTAATGAATATAATTCAATTAAGGGTCGTGCACAACGATCGAGTATTAATTCATTTGTGACTATGCAGCTATGCAGTTCACTTTGAACATTACGAAATTATTTATCACCTCAACACTGACCGAGTGAGTGCAATGGCTGAAATTTACGCATAGATTACCAAGGATCATCACCGGAGAGGTTCTTCACGCAATATTAGCCCACGTAAAACTAACAAGCTATAAAATTTTATTTGTTTATAAAAATAATGTGCTAAGAATACATATTTTGACAATTATTTAACTTTGTGCTTTTATAAAATGTGCTAAAAGTAACTGCTCTCAGTTTACGGTTACATGAACGGAAACTATTCAGATAATTTTTTCGCTCTATTGAAAAGATTGCACTTTAATGTTACTATTAATTTTTCTGATTTACAATGATAATAATAAGAATAAATAAACATAACACAAGTTAACGTTATATTTAGAATGTCTGAAATAAGCACCGGTTCAACACTTTCTAGCGATTCTTTATGAACTAGCAAAAAATGTAGTCAAAGGCCAAAATAAAAAATTTACAAGTTTAGAGTCTTGTTTGTACATTTAATAAAATTAGATTTGTCGAATAAATTCGTTCCAATTATACTGAATAAATAAATACAAATACTTAAATGACAATTTTTACGATTGAAGTCCAGATACTTAAAAAAATAATAAACAAACAATATGTGTATTGGTACAATTATGGGAAACAAAATTTATTGAAGTAAATGAGTTTGACATGAAACGTTACATTTACTAGGGAGCACAAAGCCAAACACGAGTTTACAGGTGATTAAATTTTTGTGGTGTTGGAAAAAATTCCTGATGTATTTTAGTGGTGTAAACACGGCTGAGTGTGGGCGAGCGTGCAACCGACAAAGCTCAGGTTAGCTATTGTACATTTAAAATGCGAGAACTATTTACCTAATCAAAATTTAATTTATAAAAGGAGGTAAGTAATTGATTTCTTTTAAATAATACAGTAGTCTTGCTGTTGTTTAAGAGTTTCAATTATAAAGGTATAATTAAATCCAACCACCTAATTATTGGATCTAAATTTAACAAACGGAACACCCATGTTACAGATATGTTTTATTTGTACCATACAGTGCCGTTTTTTTAAATAAAACTGTTAATTGAACAGAAATAAATAGCGTAATCGTTGTTACTATTTTGCATATTTATGTGTTAAAAACACCAAAAAATGGCGCAGCACTGAAAACGCAGCAAACTGCTAATTATATTATTGTGCTAAAATATCGTTTTAATCACAAAATATACAACAGACTAAATACAACTTCTTAATTTGCAACGTAGCTGCGATGTAAAATGGTACAAATTTAAAAATGAAACAATAAAAAAATTAACGAGAGGTATTTTTTTTAATCCATATTTAAATTTAGTATTAATGGCACAATCTATTTTAAACGGTTATAAGTATGACTGTTAAAAACTGGGCCTGGATACTTTAAACAGACTGTTTTCGCAATTTTGAGCAAATATTCTGGCTTTGTCACAAATATTACTGCACAATATAACAAAATACAGATGACACAAATTAAAAAAAAAAAAAAACCTTTTAATAGTATCACAAATTTTCAGCAATATTTCAGACAAAAAGTAACTTCTGTAAAAAATTATTTGATGAAAGTAAATAGTTTTTTTAATATTTATGGCACACGTTTATCAAATTTGGTAAACTCTGGGAATACACTGGATAAGATTTATCTATTGACACAACATGTTATATGATGGGTAAATATTTAACAAAAAGAAGGATAAATTTCATTTAATAAAAATATTATTGACTTGGACTGAAGACAACGATGTCAACGTCACACCTCATTATTTTCACATGCCGCTGATTTCTAGCAATTTTAAATACAAACTTCTGGTACAACAAAATAAATGTCTCTATCAACCACATAAAGCTGTTTGGACGTCTGAAATTTTTCACAGACCATTTTTTAGCGGGCATTGTAGCCAAGTTGCTAGAAAAATACTAAGATCTTCATGTATCCTTAGAAACCATAATACGACTATTGTTTCTTTTTAAACAAGTCAGTTCTTTGTAATAGTTTAACAAAATTAAAATGCATCTGGTAAAAATGTAATATGTTTTATCAAAACTTTAAAATTTGGAAACATTTCAACTAACTCGATTATGTCGTTAGTTGTTTGAAACGCATAACAGATCTTATAATCATAAATTTAAAAAACTCAAATATTGCAACAGATGTTCATTCTCGCTGTCCAAATAGCTTCTGCAAACAACAGAAAAAAATGTTTGGAATTTTATGTCATGCTTGGTGTTTGCGGGATGCCTTTTATTATTGTGTTCGTAAAGTTACTAAGAAAATCATGTAATAAATTAAAAGCACATATAGCTCCAACTTTTTACACTACACATTAAATAAAAATCATACGGTCGGATTAATCGCATTCAAACACACGAATTGTATGACATTTTATTGTAGATCCGATAGTGCAGAAAAAATATTTAAAAAGTGTCAAATGTCATGACAGTTTTCCAAAACGAAGTCTCGAAGAAGTGTAAAAGTCGTGTACAATAAACTTTGAACAGCAACCCTTTGATATTTCACGTTTCTTCATTAATTAACTTTCCCAGTCTACAGAACATTTTTTTAAACTACTCTCCTTGAACATATAAAATGCACGCAGCATTAATTGTATTCTTTTTAGTATTTCATTCAAATATGCAATGCATAAAAAATTACGACGATAAAAATCGTAATTTAACAAACGTCAAAGTGACAGGCCTTCGCTACTGTGACGTCATCTGACGTGTTTTATCTGAACTCCGAAATCGACTGACTGTTTTCTAAGTAAGAAGTAGGTATACCATTCACCTTTATATCTTGATATATTTGTTATTTAAATACCACTGTAGAAAGAGCGACGATTTTTTTTTTTTAAACAAAACTCTGTTCTTGCGAACTGATTGAAATAATGAAATTCTGTAAACATTTTTGTTTTTAGCTCGCCGAGGGACTATAATTTAGTATATTGCAAATATGACGAATATTTAGCGCCGGCGTCGCGACGCAAATCTTTTAAATAGCAACGTAATTGTGTGTAGCGGTTTTTACTTATCATCAAATTACGATTACAATGATACAAATATTTGTATTGTTAGTTTTAACTGTAAATAATATAAATTATCTAAATTAAGAGATGTCTGGTTATCATTTGGTATTGTCATGTAAACAAATGTACAAACACAATACTACTGTTAATTTTTCAATCAAAATATTGGACTACTACAATATTTCTTTACTACCCTGAAAAATATTTATGATGAAAACTCGATCGTCAGTAAAGACCCCACTTCATGGTGAGTTCGCAGCCCAAATTTAAACGCCCTTAGATTTTTGTTGTTACAAATTTTATTATTTTTTAATCGACTGAAAATTAAATAAACACTAAAGCGTTTTAACATTATTATAAATATATGATGCAATGTATCCCTCCTTGACTAGAGCTGTCAAAGCTAATAACATATCCCGATATGACGATTCATCAATTAAATAAGAACATGTCACAAAAACAATAAAACTTTAAGATACAACAAAAAAACTAAGTTGAAAAGTAATTCAACCAATTAAATGAGAAATAAAGCCACGATAATTTATATTATTTACAATTAAAAAGAATACACCACATATAAGTGTGTTATAACATTGTAATCGTAACTTTGATGTAATGATCTGTGAACATTGGTAAAAAAATGATATACTTATGTTATAATAAAAAAAATCAGATTAGCATTGCATCATATTTGCAATGTACTGAATTAAACTTCTACCTTCAAGCTAAAAACAATCGTGTTTATAGAACTTCCCAATATCCGTTCTCAGCATATAAATAAGGCCACAGAGTTTTATCAAAGACACTTACAATTACATTATAGTAAAAAAATGTAAAAGGGAAAAACAAAACGCTACTTTTTAAAAAGACTTATTATTGTTTGCGTATTAATAAATTATAGCACACAATAACTCGTGTAATTTTTTTTTAATGAACCTTTAAACTATACATTTTGCTAATTTATACCTTAACCTCCCTCACAAGACACATTTTTGCACGTTAACGCACCCCGAGCACTCTACAAGCCAAACCAAAACACACCCTTAGCAGTGGTTTCGCTGGAAAGTTACTCACTCGACTCGGAAAGAAACAAAAAACTACTCAAACCAAAACAAAATATAATTATCTCAAAAGTAAATACAACTTTTTTGTTTCTCCTACGTTAGTTAAGTAACAATATTACCTGTACCTTCGGGATATGAGCCCGGGCCCATAAAGTATTCTTTATTGACGCAATTCCTCAGACATTCTGGGATCCTGCCCATGATGGCGCGTCGGATTTCGGACGCCGCCATCTCCCTAAGTTCGGTTGCCGAGGCGTCACTGTAGAACGCCGCGTGCGGCGTACACAACAGATTAGGGGCTTCTTTTAGGGGTCCCGCGAACACATTATACGGCTCGTTTTCGTGAACGTCCAACGCCGCCGCCCTGATCCGGCCCTGTTTCAACGCCTGTGCTAATGCGTCATCGTCGACTAAACCGCCCCGGGCCGTATTCACTAGAAATGCGCCCGGCCGCATCTGCTTTATGGTGAACTCGTTGATCAGATGGTGGTTGTGTTCGTTGAGGGTGCAATGGAGAGATACGCAGTCGGATTGGAACAGCAGATCCTATAGAATAAAAGAAAAACAATCAGTGACATTTTTCTATTGTTGTATTATCGTTTATGGGAAGGCTTGGGCATGAACGGCATCTACATTGCTGGGCCAAAATCGACGGTTTTAACAAGTGGAATAATGACAGTGTTTTATATATTTACTGATCTGGAGGCCACAATTATTCATATTGTTATTGTGTCACCGGGTGTATTTATTTGTTCAACATGACGACGATACAAAGACTGTCGACAATGTGTCAACTAGGCGTAATAACAATCATTTTGTCTTCGTTGCCACTATGAACAGTTTAGAAGGGGTGACATTATTAAAATTAGTAAAGGTTTAAGTTGTGTACACTTTTTGTTTACGAAAATACTAAAACATTCATAACACAATCTTATTAAAAATAATAATAATAATAATAAAGTAAAAAAAAGACATTTTGTTCGCCCCTATCTTGCACTTAAACGCTGTTTTCCTTGGGTGATTACTGTTATTTATTTACATTTAGTTACTCTACCCACAAACAATGTATTGCCTACGTTTACTTTACTCATTTTTTGTAATTGACAGTTATAAAAGAAGTAAGTAATAAGCAAAAATTGCTTACACATACACGGTGTCTCAACCAATAATATGATTGAGGAAATTATGGATTCACCACGAATTATTAGCAAAACTTTTTGGCAGTCTAATAGAACTATTATTTAGCTTACAAGGTGTAATCCCCTGACAACCGAATATACTTTTTCGAGGGAACTTTGGATCCTGAATCTGAATCCTGTATTTAGCACCCCATGTTTCCAAGGAAATAAAAAAAAAAGTTCAATTTTAACGAAATTAGTGCAGATGCTCATTTTTACCCACTGAAGGAAAACATTCTTGGTGAAACTGCAGAAAATATATGATTAGGGTAGACTGTGGAAACATTTTTCATTTCTTTTATTAAACTTTGAGCATGAAAATTCACACTTGTTAAATCATCTTTTCTCGTGGAGCAGATATGTATATCACTTTTTTATTATACATGAAAGTAGTCATTCGATGGACCTTATTACAATACTTCCTTAGCTTACGTTCGAGAAATTAAAAAAAAAAACATTACATTATACACTTTTAATAAATTCAATAAAAAATAATTCGGAACTGGTTAGAGATAAGAGTAGAAATAGTATAAGAAGTACATATTGAGCCAATACAATTCATCACTTAAGCTCTTACTGAGACGTTCCATCGCGTTTTCGTTCTCTAAGTATAATTATTATTAAGTAAATATTTAAGCGCGTATTTGTAATAGATTCGTATAATAGTCTGTACTCTTGTAGATTTGGCAAATCTAAACAAGTAAGGACCTCTTGAGTGTTAAATAATTTATGGCTATGTCTAAATTATCTGTGGCATCCTTGATTTTAGTCTTAAGATAAAATCTTTTCTAAATGTTGTTGAATTGGAAAATTATTGCAACCTTGACAACTCCTACAACCCAAAACTAAAACACATATTAAGAATAAAATTTAAAATTCCACCTCATCCGCTTCTGGCGTACAATACAATTTATTATTATTATTAATCATTTTGACGAAATATGTTAGTTTAAGCCACATGGTTCACCGATCAGGTATAATGTACACTGTTGTAGTGTCTTCAAGTGTTGATTACACATCCGCTTATCTTGCGTCCTTTAAAGTTCAGAAGTCGCTCCTTCATTTTATTAGCCGCTATTTTAATAACACAGTTTGAGTACACTACTGCAAAACAAACAAGCAAAATTAATACGAATACTTACAACATAAGCAAGAATTGCTTACACTGTAATTTCAATAACGTTATTAATAAGCATTTATTTTTACACTAGTGAAGGGGGAAGAACAATGAAATACTTGTAAGACTGCCAATATGTATTAATTTACAATACAGAGAAAGTAATTTAAATTTGTACGTATTAAATTTCCAAATCTTTTCCTTTTACTTTTCCCGCCTATTTTGTTCGTTGTATTTTTTTCTATTATATGTAGGGCATCAGCAAGATTTTGCTTTTAAATGACAAAATACGGGGTACAGTCGAAAACAATTTGAGTTGCATTTAATACTGTTTTTGTTTACACAGTACTATGACAGTAAGACAACGAACGTCAATCAAACTACTTAGTTTGTTCATTTAATATAATTATTAACATTTATCCAGTCCCCTTGAGCTTTCATTGAATCATCCCACACTCTTCAAGCGAAAGAAACGATTACTGTTGCAACTTATTCGATTAAACCTCAATCACAAAGCATTTGACGGTTTGAGAAGAGAACAAAAGCGCAGTCGTATAATAAAGACGAAACTTTTTGTATCTTTTTTATAACTAAGAAGTTGGCGCATGTGTTTTTTAGCCATTCGAAGTTAAAGTCTACTATGATTAAATTTATTTTCTTTTCGACAGTTTTTCCAATTACACTTATCATTAAATATTACAATAAACCTTGTAAAACGTACAAATAAAGTTAAACATAAATAAAAGTGGTGTAAAATGATAAAACAAAATTGTGCGAAAAGATTTACCGGACTTCCCACTTCCCTTGTTTCGGAAGCACCACCAACACCGTGTATCTGTCAGATATATTTTTCAACTAAGATTTATTTTAATTTACCAAACCTAACTGAGGGAAGGTTATTTTAACAAATGCATAATATTTTTTCGACGTTTCATTACTTACATGATATGAAATTGCCGTCTGCCGTTTGTGTTTATATGTAAACGATTTTATCGGAAGGCAAACTACTCGACTGATTACTGAGAAATTTTAGATGTACTTTACAACTATGATGTAGGTTTATTAAAATGTATCAGTTCATTCTCACCAAAAATTTTATTACGTTATTTCAACATTTTTATAAGTAAATTTTTGGTTTATTATAAAAACTCAAATTTGTTTAATGAAATTTTACTATTAGAATCTATGTAACGAATTTGATTAAGATTTTAGTACCACACTAAGATTGATTTTAATAATTACGAAACATCTATTATTATTATTATTTTACTATAGTTTTATTATTCTATCGTTCCACGGACAAAGTTGGTCTGTAAATACACACTATCAACGCAATGGAATAAATGGAATTAGTACAATGGTGTAACGTTAAACATATGAGCACGTTATTAAACCATTAAGCAGTAAGAATGTCACGTTATAAATTATGAGATGACGTCATCAGTTTTTTGAAAAAGGTTGATACATTTGCTTGGTGTTTTACCACCAACACGGTAATCTTCAAAAATACATCTAAAATTTGGACGTAATCAATTCCCCACTTTCAGAGTTGATTTATCTAATAAAATCGCAAGTAGACAGTCAAGAGAAGGTCACTGAAGACTGAATTTTTTTTATTATACGAAATGTGACACGTTGAGAATATACGAAATGGGACAATAATCAAAATGATTCCCTAACATGTATGCTCAGGAAATAAACAATATTTTAAAAATTAACTTTCTGTTTCGAAGTTAAAATTATACTAAAACTTAATAAACATGTTTCAAAACTAAATTAAACTTCAATGCAGCTACTACTAAATTGACTGTACTAGAAAGATCGGAGAGATTGTACGTAATCAACGCGTAAATATGAACCTACCGTTTCTATTAGTTCGAAAGCGTGCCTTGAACCAGGAAAAGGTTTTAGCGTAGGCTAATACCACGAATTGTATAACAAAAAGAGAAACATTTGTGCATATTTTTTACCAGCGATGTCTTTAGTACCGTCAAAAGAACTTACGTGTAGTTTATACACAAATTGTTTGATTTTATTCAAAAATCGGGCACCATTCTTCTTAAGGTGTACACTTTAGTTAAAATTATTATATTAATCGTTATTACATGCATGATACACCCATTACTGTACGAGTTTTAAATTTACAATGTTAAATATTAATCTCACGCCATCCATCTTTAGAAGGCCAGAAACAGGTCATAATTTTCCAACGGTTACTGCTGTTCTGAAAAGTACACGTGCATACAGTGAAAATCTAGATAATAGTAGTAATAATAATAATAATTTACTTGCCATTATTACATCCAAGATGCTAACATGTTATAATACAAATAAACAAAAACTCAATAAAATAAACTGAACCCCAAATTTAAATATATTTTTTATGAACAACAAGGACGCCTAAGAAGTAATATTTTGATGGTTTTCTTAAAAGATGTTACAGGTAATATACGCACTTCTGCACATAGCCAGTTAAAGAATTGTGTAAAGAAATAATTTACGCTCGATCTAGGTTTATAAATGGTCTACGTCAAAGATATATTTGCGTATAAGTGAATAAATTGTGTGCCGGTCCACACCTGGATGATGCGTGGAAATTATTTCTAACATGAAATGACGTCATCAATTTTGGAGGGAGGAGAGTAATAAACAGATAAATTAGGATAACGATTTACCATGCCCACAATAAAGTTAAAACGTTCGCAAAACTTCAGAGACTTTTTGCACTTTAAAGTTAGTTAACTTGTAAAATCTTGTTATGGGATTTTGATATTTTTTCAAAAATTTGATGTCCAAGATAAAAAAATCAAGGCAGATTCATATGAGTACAGGTCAAAGTATTTACGCACCAGCAATTTTTCCAATAATTCCGAGATAAGGATGATAAAAGAACATTAGATAAATTAGTGGATATATTACAAAAAATTTGTTTAGCTCTCACTAAAAACGAAGGACACATATTGGGTCTTGATAAACAATATAATAAAGAAAACGTCCTTTGATACTGTGTTGTTTCAGTAATCGAAAGTTTAATTCAACTGTATTTATTTCAAGCGCGTAAATACATTTGAGCGGTCTTGTAAAAGTATGTTATTTTATAAAATTTAAATAGTATTTACTATGCAAAATTTTGAGATGACGTCAGTTGTTAGTGGGAATGAGTTGTTTCGGATATTATCTGTCTAATAAATTCGTGCTTAGACTACAGATCCCAGACAGACGGAAAGGGTGGATCTATTTTGTCAAACTTTCGGAGTCATGAAACGTCCGGAAAATATGAAATTAGCCGTTCATCGTATGAACCCTATTACAATACTTCTGTAACTTGCGCTCGGGAAGTAGAAGACAGTTTATTATTTATAGTAAACCAGTTAGTAAGTTGTATTAATGTATTGTCAGCGACAGTAATGAAATTAGAAGATTGAAAAGCGATAAATAATTATGTCGTTAATATCAATTAAAAGTAAAGTGGGACCGATAACGGATCCTTGAGGAACACCAAAATGTAATAAAAGAGGTGGCGAATTGTTAAAATTTAAGGTGACGTATGGGATAATATTGTTTGCGTTACCTGTAGCGTGTAGACCCTCGTCAGTCCCAGACTCTTCTCGATCCCGTCCGGGAGATACGGATCGTAGAAGATGACGTTGAAACCGAAGGCTTTCGCGCGCAGTGCGACCGCCGATCCGATCCTCCCGAGTCCGACGATGCCTAACGTGTCGCCGCGTATCCTGGCGCATCCTTGAGCCGCCTCCCTCACCTGTTCCGGTCCCGTGAACTTCTTCCCTTCCCTCACCATGTTCGCCAACCAATAGGTCCTTCGGTACAAGTTCAAAATGAGACACAGCGTCGTATCGGCCACCTCCTCGACGCCGTACCCTGGAACGTTACACACGGCGATCCCCAACTCTCCCGCCGCTTTGACGTCTATGTTATCGACGCCGCTGCCTATGCGCACGATGATCCGCAGCGTTTTGAACTTTTCGAGGTCCTCCTTGGTGAGGACGATGGTGTGCCACATCAGGGCGCCGACTGCCTCGTTCAGCACTTTCTCGTGGATCTCGCTGGTGCTCTGCGCGTCACAGAACGCCACCGTCGCGACGTCCTTAAGAATGGGCATTTCGATGGAACAGTCCCTTCCGTCCAACAACGCGACCAACGGACGCTGTTGCATCGGCCCGTTCGAGATGGGACCGCGCAAGTTGTCAACTCTAGGCCTTTTTGCCATCATTTTTCGTTTGTCCATTTGAATAAACACGCCACACTAACGACACCAGTGCCGCATATACGGCGCACCGTCAACGGACACCACGCACAAACACCAACAAACTGTTGATCGTCTACGGGGGCTGTGCTAACGCCAGCGGATGCTAAAACTCTATGGGGTTGATGCTGCCTGCTCTCGCCTCGCCTCGTTCGCTGATGATGCTGCCGTCCACCGTCACACGCCGGACCGCGAAACCAAGCCTTAGGTTACGCTTCGCGACTGAATATGCGCTCCATCGTGATGCATGAAGACCACCTGAGAACAAAAACAAAACTTACAAACTGATTTTAAACATTTATTTTAGAGAACTAATTTTTCCAAATTAACCAAAATAAATTGGAAAATATACAGTCCATTGTTTTTGACCTTTTTGGAAAAAGTAATAAAGCATGGTCCAGGAAAAATGTTTCCCTTGTTTGTTATTATTAAGACATATGTTCGGGTCATAGCACGAATTCACAAAAATAGTTTGCATCTTCTTACAGCCGTCTAAATATTCCAGAACATTTATATTTCCATGCCTGTACTGTAAATGTTTTGAGTAGTAGATAAACACGCTATCATTGTAGCAGACATTTTTGTGTGTGTACTTTTATATTACTATGTAGTCACTTTATTAGTGACAATAATAAACTCAATGGTACAAAATTAAATATCAATGCTGTACTGTAAATTCGGCTGAGCGTTAGAGCTAGACGACAGTATAAAATAGAAGATATTTTTAAAACACAGAGTTGGAATATGGGCTCTGTCTCTATATAGGCTGCTCCGACAATCCGATATTTTAATTTAAATACATTTAAATGGAATAACCTATGTATCCAGACGATCAACAAATTGACATACACCTTGCTTATTAGCATAATGTGATGTTTCATTAATTCAAACTGAGCAGAATATTTATGTATAACATTTTAATCGCATCCATTAAACTAATTTAAGGTTTATCATTCCTAATTTAGACACACGGATAAATTTTATGAAAGCACAATATATTACTACAAAAAATAGAAAACTAACGGTACTATGACCTTCTGACTGACAGTTCTTTTAATAACACAACGTTTATGACGAAAAAATAGCATGTTGTTACCGTCTTGTCAGAAGGAAACCTGTGATTTTGTTTTCATTCTCTATAAAAATATACTGTTTTACGAAAGAATTATTTGAACATCCCGAAAATGTCAGATTATAGAGAAATTCGTAGTAATTTACTTGGTTATTAAACACAGAAAAGAATTCTCACAGATGCAGTAGATTACAAAAAGAAATTTTAATAGCAGATCGGTTCTCCATCGTTTCTTGTATAATCCGCAACTCAAGCATGCAATTATATCATCATCCATCACCAATTATGCCACACAAACATTTTCAATCGGTAGTAAGTCACGCAAACGTTGGGACCAATGCTTTAGAGTTACTTTTGAACTTTACAGAAATTATATTATGACTAGGGTAGCATATGAAATACGAATCTTCTTGAAAAAGAGAATCTGCCAGATCTGGAAGATATGTTACCGTAAATAGTTCCAGCGTTCATTAAAGGGTAAGTTTCTAATTTGTTGTGAGATCTAAACGGTAACTATCGATCTGCCGTAAGCAATTAAGTCTTATAAGTCATGGTTACGTTCATGACTTCTAAAAAAAAAAAAAAAAACATCTAGTGGTATTCTATCTTGCAATAAGATGTAAACTCAGATATAGGTAAGGCTAGAAGACCAAGTGATTCGATTGACAAACTGTCTGATATTGTGGATATTTTGCAACCAACCGTTGCTAAATATTCACCCACCGATTAAGTTCCTATATTATGTTCATATCTTTGGAGATAATTTTATAGATTGTAGTTTATTTCCTTTTCTAAATACGTTTTAAATAAACTTTCATGTTTCAAAATTTTATGATATATTTTACCTTCATGCAAAAATTCTATACATGTTACATATTATTTCTCTCTCAAACTTCCCTTTAATTTACCAAAATGTAATTTGTAATTTTTATATTGCGGGTTGTTTTCGAATTATAACAAAATCCTAAGTTCTAGTGTGTGAACCTTTTTTCATTTGGTACGTGTAGAACTGGAGATACACCTGTAGGAAATGGAACTCATTACACAGCGGGCTTTTATATCTGTTCAATGTAAATTTATGTTGAATTAAACAAGAACAACTCAAATAACTCTCTAATTAAATATGGGGAGCTAAAAATTTAAAACATACTCAATGAATTTTTGCAACAAATTTACCACAGTAATTGTAAAAAATAAATGTAACAAGGACATTCTTACATTTTTATATATTTCGGTTACATTTTTTATCAAATCGACTGAAAACAGAACTGTGCTTTAAAAAATACAAAACTTCTCAGACGCTTACATTGCGGGTGCTTCTCATAGTTCAGAGTCCTATTTCTCCCACAACTTCAGAACTCCTCGGCTGAAACTTTGCTCTTTTCGTTTTGAATTTAGTTGCTTTTCGAGCTTAAAGTACCTTCTTTTTAAACAAAATGTGCGCTTAACAGGCATTTTCAAACTACAAAATAACATTCTAGAACGGAAAGTCCAAAACAGAGTTTCTTCATTGACAAATTTTTGTTCTCATTTTTCTTTAAACTTGCTGCCCAATAAATGATCACATCTCTTTGGGAAAATGAAAAGTAAAATTATATATACCTATAGTTATTCGAAGTTAAGTTTGCCTTGCTACGACTTTAATTTTAAAGTGTCACATATCTTAACATAGAAGATTTTTCACACCACTGGCACAACTACAATAAACTTATCTTTTAAGAATTATAGTACCTAGTAAGTTGTCCCCGTTTCAGTGAATTTATGAATGAAGTTTCCAAACCCGTTATTGCAGTATGCAATTAAGTACGAGTGGATTCGAGCGGGCAGCGAATTAACAGTAATGATCTAAAAAAAGACGGACTGTAGAAAAAGTATTAAACTCGCTTGGAACGGTCGACCTCTCGCTCATGGGAAACCCATTCCATATTTCCCCTAAAGAAGCAAACAAATTACGGTCACCATTTCGGCATGAACTTTATTCGAGTTAGAGAAATAATTAAGTGTGACCCTCTTCTCCAGCAGCCGCCGAAGAAAACAATCGTAAAACCGTGTCAAAAGGAGGACGGTAAACACTCCAATTGTCCATCGCTTGTAGAGAGAGGGTTAGTTTCCCTCGGACAACAACTATTACTACAGTTAAAACTAATTCCAACTCTCGACTGCGCGAGCGAAACTGGCAAAGTTAGTTCTCAACTATTATTGCACGATGTTTGGTTTCGAGAAAGTTTAGGAAATGTGTTTCGGAATATGGTGAAGCGAGGCGGCGGCGGAACGCCAACGGCCAACTTTGGATATTTTAATAAATTATCATCGCCGCCGCCACCGCCGCCGCCGACGTCGCCTCTCCTCCGCTGGACATCTCCCTTCAACTTCCGCTGTTAATCACTGGGAGAAACCTTGCTTGCCGAACTACACGGGCTCCGCCTCTCCGAATCTAACCGCCGCCCCCCTCCAACGACGACGACGACGACACCACCCCCGTCTAATCGATGAACTTTGCATGGGACCACTTGTCCTCGAACGGCGAGGGGATGTGCGCCGGGGTGAGAAAAAATTAAACAAATCGCAAGGACGTCTCCAATGGCTTGCCCCCGATTAATGCGGATTCGAACACAGCTTTTATTGCTCGAGCTTTGTACTTTTTGCATGGATACAGAACAATAAGAAAAGGCAGAATAAACTTCGGTTTCGATGTTTTCGAAGCTAAATGCCTTCTTTTTAGCAGAATTTCACGGCTAATAAGTATATCAAATGTTAGGCCTTAGTATTCGATTAATCGACAGCATTGTTTCAACAATTCAAGAATAAAAGTGGCTGGTCTTTATATGGCGGCGTATTAATTAATAGGTTACCTAAATATCGAAGAACACTTATTGGAGATTTATTACTGAATATTTCTTTAGAAGTATGTAACCGTTTCCCAGGCCACAAGGCCGGAAAGGGTATTAGATAGGTCTGGGGATTTGTAAGGACATATTAAACACAAAAATCAATATATCGATAATTTAATATCCCCTTTCAAGCTCACTGTGTTCTTGCTGCAAAAAAGTGGTTACAAAACAAATGTGTCAGCTTTTAACACTTTCGAGTATTTGAACAGATACCCAAGGATGTGATATTTTTCTAATAAATCCACTGTACCCGTATTGTACCTAGATCATCGAACTGATCAATATTAATAACCGAATGCGGTTAGTCGACACCAAAATTTCAACCAGGCCTAACCTTGTGATACCGAGAAAATTTCTGGTGGCTAACCACAAAATGTGACGATCTAGATACAGAAAAATGGTGACAAAAAAGGAATACATATATTTTTAATCATCACCTTCATTCGCATGGTGAGGAAAACAAATGAGTTGTATGTTTTACGTGGGGCCAAATGTGCCAAGTTCGACCCTCACCATGAAACAACAGACATTTTGAAATAGGCACCTACTTTTTTTATTTTTCATATTCATAGCTAAAATTATCGTTCGTGTCAATAGTTTATATATTTTTTTTTTATAACGGTGACAATCTGAGTGGATACAGTTAGTTGCAATTTTTGAAAAGTTATTTTTCAGAATGAGAAAGATTCAGTTGTGTCTGATATTCACATTTTGTTTCAACATGATGGTGTTCCACCTCACATCTCGTCGACTTCTATTTAGTTCTCTTTTTTTTTAAATTAATGAAAAAACTCCAAACTTATCAACAAAGTAACTTCCAACGTTCTTCGAGGTTGTCTACAATCATTTTTGGAATTTTTCCGCATCTAAATGTCGCTGATCTTTGAATAGATCGTTACCTAAATAATTCAAAATTCTTTCAGATTTCTTTTACACTTTTAAAATTTAAAAAGGTCTGTTTGACACGCTCTCCATTTAAAACTAAATTTAGGCAAGTTGTATTATGCAACAGGAAAAAATCGGTTTCCCGTTCTAAATTTAAAAGGATTATTTTTAGAGGGGTCTTTGTTCTTTTTACAATGCAAGTTAGGTTTTATGTAAAATTAATGACGTTTAAAACCGACCTCAAATTCAATCTATCAAAAATAACGCACAGAAAGTTAAGTTAGAACAGTCACGTCATTGAGAGATTATAACATAAAATAAATTTGGCAATTTTAGTAAACAGAAGATTTTATGTACCGTTTTGCAATTGAATTTTTAAGAAACGGCCATTACAATACATCGCGGTTTTT